ATTGGATAAACATTTAGGTAACTATTCACTAATTGTATTATATGGTGTCGCGGGTGCAAGGTTATCTAGGTCCTCATTTGTGTACTTTTTTCGACGTTTATCATTTTCCTTGCAGCCTTCACCAGCGATATAGGATGAGCGCGCTTCAGGTGCACTGCAACGGTCCAGCCTGGCATCAAGGGTGCTGTGTGGGCACCGGCCGGACTGTATTCCGATGGTAATGAGAAACGGACGCTCACGCAATCATATTTCCAACTTTCATCTCCGCAGTTACGCACGCACTAATCAACATTTATGGAGCCTCGGGCTGACATAAATTGTCTTCTGATTTCCAGAAGCATAAATGATAGAATTTTCTTCAACTTCTCCTGGGCCGAGAAGTGACTGGCGACATTTTTCACATTATCACCGACAACGACGACAGTTATTCCCTCCATAATCTCATCGCAGTGCTATGATTACCAGCCACTTCGCTTTATCATGGCCCAGCATAAGTTTTGACGTAGTTTAAAACCATTGAACAGCTCCACTATCGTCAAGCAATGTTCGATTATGAATTATTTCACGAAGTACGCAAATACTAACTTAGAATGTAATCCGCCACAATTGCCACCAATTATTGAATAGCACAGACGGTTGGAATTACAGACAAGGTGCAGCATAAGCTTCTTCTCCATATCCGCGAGGCGGTCTCCAGTGTTTGTTTCATATCCAGAGACCAGAGTCCAATAATGTCATATATCCATTCGCCCCCCCCCCCCCATTGCACATTCTGTGAGACATTAGAGAAATGAACAAAGCCATCCCATTTCGAAAACAAGCACTACAATCAAAGAGTTAAGCATTTTGTCGATGGTTTTCACTATCTCTTCCCCCATCGTCTGATTTATGAGACGCAGCGTTCGAAGGCATACGGAAAACATTCCATTGTGTGACGACAGTCCGCCAAATCCGTCCCATATTAGATTTAAACTCGATTTCACCGGAACCCGTTCCACGAAAGGCACTCGAATCCATCGTTTGGCAGCCACGTCGTATGCAGATAAAGTCAAGTAAGCACATCCACCTCAGAGTTTCCGACCTTTTTCAGCTCTCGCAGACCGTTGAACAAAAATGTGAAACTGTCAATGCCTCCGATCAGGTTTGCAGTTCAAGCAAACAAAGTCTCACAAACTGTTCAATTGAAGAAAAGGATGAGCGTCGTCTCATCATTACCAAAATGAGACGTGGATTGCAAACAAAATCTTCACCCAAACTCACTTCATGGCCGGTCTAAGGCCAGAGTCGCTCCCCGGGCTGGCGACCAAAGCCGGAGTCGCTCCCCGGGCGGGCGACCAAAGCCGGAGTCGCTCCCCGGGCTGGCGACCAAAGCCGGAGTCGCTCCCCGGGCGGGCGACCAAAGCCGTGGAGGGAGCCATCCCCTGTCGGGAGCCGTGAAAAACCCGAGCACGATAAATGGCCTCCACTGTAACACATCGCCCCGGAGGGGGTCGGCGGACCGGCGGCAATCTAACGCTGGTCGTAATACGTCAGCGCCTGGGTGAGCTGGCGCCCGACCTGCGGCGGCGGCGGCGCCGGCGGCAATCGGGACCAGAACTGCGACCCAGCGGCAGCCGCACCGTGACGCCATGCAGGCGCAGTGCCGGCAGCCTGCAGGCCCCGCGGGTGCTGGCTGTATCTCGACAAGAAATGTCGCCTTTTGCCACGCAACGCCAACGCGGCTCCTGAGCTACATCTACAAACATTTCGCATGTGTCTGCAAAGAAACATAGGTACTTGTAATCAGCCCCCGTTCACGAGCTCCAGAATCCCTTTACCGTGACGTCACCACGGCGGTAGAATCTCCCTTCACCCATAGACATGCATGCAAATTTCATCATCTTTCGAGCGAGCTGGAGAAAAAAAAAAAACAAGGATTGTGTGTCATTAAATGTTATACCAATGTAACAATGAGTTCGCCTCATTACGATAGATGGGGCTGAAACTAAAGAATAGGACTATATCGAGCCAAAATCAGCAATTCAAATGACCCCTTCATTTGAACGTGAAGGATTTCCTCTGGTGACGTCACCACGGCGCCTTTATTTCCCTAGTGAACCAACCTGAGTAGTAAAGGAATCTTGCTTGTAATACCTACAATTCATATGTTTTTGGGAGTTGAGGACTGATTCAGCTTAGAGGAGTACGTTAAAAGTGCATTGCCTTTTTGTATTGTAATAACATAGGTAACTACGGTTCCACTTTCCCACTTTCCGTTTCTGGTCCGAGTAGTACTTTCAAAAACGAAAATGGTCGCTGGGCTCGAAGGGTAAGGAGCTGTTTTCCTGCAGGTTGACTAATTGCTCGACATTCTTAGTATAGGCTGAATAGCGCAGACACTAAATACGTCATTACGTGGCTTTCATTGTGTGTAGCTTCCCTTCCCGAGCCATTGACAACAATGCACCTATTGATCACTGTGAGATACGAACACTTGATAGGGCACTGCTGCTTACTTCACATTGGGCATAATAGACCACCCTTGAGATGTGCGCTTCATATGTGAGAAACTCACACCAATGTGCATAAAGAAACCCCACTGCCTTTTGTAATAATGCCTTTTCTAAAAGCATATTTTGAATGCCGTTTGTTCAACTACATGAACCGTGGGCAATTGCAGTGGCTGCGAGTTCCGTAAGAGGAACAGAAATTATAGTATGTATATCTATACATACTCCAAATAAGCATGCCTGTTGAACATCAGCATGCGTTGCCCTGATAAATAATGGAACGAAGTACCTAATACAAATAAAATTGAAAGTTTAGTCCGTTAAAAAAAAAAAAACATGAAAATGGACCCTATATCTATTGGGAAACTGAGGCGCCGCCAAGCTGCCCAGCAACCGCCCTGGGGAGGTAGCATGGCTGCGGCCTATTTGCCAAACAACCTGCCCGGCAATTGCATTGGTCGTCCGGCTTTTCCAGTCGCCTGCAGAGATATTGTCATGTTTGTGCTGCCTAAATACGCCAAATGGTCCCGCCACCAAAACAGTGGTTTCCATCAGGCTGAGCGCTGGCGATATAGACCGTAAAGGCGGAGCCAGCGGGGGGTATGGGGGACGGGAGGGGAGGCGGAAGCAGGGAGAGGAAGGAGGGGAGAGGGAAAGGGAGAGGGAGAGGGGAGCTGGCACAGGCTCTGAGGGGAGACTACTCTGGGATACTGGTAGGACCGTATATTGGGGAGCGGCCCACGGAAGACAATGGCCGATCGGAAACGTCCACAAAAAGGAGCCCCGGATCCACAAAAAGACCGGAGCCCACAGATGCCAGAGGCGCATATGAGACGTCATAAGCAGAACGCCAGTCTCGGCAGAATATTAATCGGGAAGTCACTATATAGTTATATCGTTCCGAAGACACGACCATCAAATCTATGACTTCTTTACGATTTTCGCAAGAGTCTGATTGTATTACCATCTTTGCATTACCTACACCAGATACCTAACAATTCATTAGCTTTGTGAAACTTGTTCACAAGTCTTTAATAAATGTGCAATAAAAACAAACAGATATACGAGCTAGGCATCAGGCCGACTCTCTAGTGCCCTGATCAGGCCATCAGTGTCGAGTCTCTAGGTATCTTCAATCAAGACATTTCCACCCTCCGCGCAAGGATGCCACAACAGGCATCTTATGCTGAGAATATCGTCCACAATAAAGGCATAGTGATATTTCCCAAAATTCGATTACTTTAGTACTCTCACTTACCGACTTATGGCGTCAGTCATAGTTGCATGATGCAATGACATTTAATTTCGACTAGCGTTTCCAATGGAAGGGGCGACGGCGATTAACTGGTTAATAGTTTACATTGTGGCATCCAATTCTGCTGCAATGGTCCTAACTCCATCAAAGGCAGACAATTTGGCCATATCAGGCAAGCTGTCACACACGAAGGCAGCCAACTAATAAGATAAAACTATTCGCAAGCAAATCGTGCAACAACGGTAGTTCTAATGGACGCTCTAATGGACTGAAAGTGGAACACTCGGAACGGACTGGAGGGCTGAATAAGTGAATGAGTGGTAATTTTATCAACCGAAGCGCATCATGTGAAACGAGGCGCAGCGATGGGTTTGATGCAGGGGCGATTGTTGTGGCGTTATCAACAGATTATGTCAGCGAAGTCAAAGTGGATGAGTGACGACACTGGGACAGACTGAGTTCAGCAGCGACAGCGAACTTTGCCAACGCTGACGACCAAGCGACAACCAGAGCTGAGCTCAAGGCCGAATGAATTATTGGGTTGCCAAGTAGCCAGGACACCAACAGCAGAAAAGTCCCGTGGGATTCGTATGAGATTTCGCTAGCATTGCATTCAGGAAACTTGAAGAAAACTGCTGGAGGCAAACTATGAAACTGTGAGTTATCTCTAAACAGTCCCGTCTTTCCAGATTTGTTATCCCTTAGCCCCCCCCCCCTCTCCAGCTCGGTTGCATTGCACGGCGAAATATAAGGTGACGCATGGTGTTCTCAATGAGCAGAGGGGAGCCCAACTGTCTCATAATGTCAGCTGAAGCGATCAAATCACCTCAGCCAGCCAACTATGCACCCCGTCCCCTCAGTATGCACACACCGCAAACCGCAAAACCACAAGCACGGGCACACGCAGCAACACGTGCACAGGGCCATGGGGGGGGGGGGGGCTGGCCCGCCCTCCTGCCGTCTGGATCCATCATCCTCAGGCCGTCCGCCGGGTACGAATGGCCAGCAACAGACATGTCACCTGTAGATTGCTCACGACACGGCCCACAAGTCACTGAGCGAGGCTCAACGGCCGTTACTGCAGGAGTTATTCAACAGTGCCAGAGCTAAGCCCGTAAGTGAGCCTAGCCCGTAATGTAATTGCCACCCCAAAGTGGGGACCCTCAAAGCGGTGTAAGGGTTATCCATTTTGGGAGCAGATAACCAACAGTTTCCCGTTACCGGCAACAGAGAGGCTGGCATTACGCCGGACTGACCTTTATGCATGCCGGTGAACTTGTCCTTGAGCACGCTCAGCTCATAAATGGCACCGAACTCCTCGAACATGGGTCGCAGGTCACGCTCCTCGAGATGCCGCGGGATCTGGCCAATGAACAGCTTCACAGTGTCCGGATCGCGGCAGGTGGGCGGCAGTGGCGGCGGGGGCGGCGGGATGGGCGCGGCCGCGGCCGCCGAGGCCGGGTCGCCCAGTTTGCCGGTCAGCAGCGGCGGCTGCGGGTAGGCCGCAAACAGCGCCGGGTCGCCCGGCAGCCCCGACAGGCCGGCGGGCAGGCCGCCAGAGAGGCTCGACAGGCCGCCGGCCAGACTGACGGGCAGTCCGCCGGACAGACTCGCCGGCAGCGGCGCCATGTTGTACAGCATCGTGCACTGGTTCGATCCACAGCACGGTCACACTGCCCGGGGCGCTGCCGGCGTGGCACTGGCGCCCCGCCGCCGCCGCCGCCGCCGGCCGCCGGTTTAATTGATCGGAGTGGCGCCGCGGCGCGGCGGGTTGGCGGCAGAGCGCACGCACCGCGGCAACACACGTGATCTGGCGGCCCGTCGGCGCCGACGAGGGCTCCGCTGCCGACGGCGGGGGAGGAGAGGAGGTGTTAGCGCGGGTGTCATGTGACAGGGGTGCCGGACAGGGGCGGTGGCAGGCACACGGACAGGGGGACGTGTCATGACAGGGAGCCATCGGGATGAGAGATGATGCATGTCCTCAGGAGAAACAACGGGAACTGTTCCATTAAACATAAGATCTCCATTAATATTACATCACACTCATTTAATGAACCCGGGACATGACAGTGGAAAATATGAGAAAACCACAATCTATAATTCATAGCGCGCTCCAAGAATGTCGGTCAACGAAGTTCATATTCAGCGCAGATATTGCCCAAACTTGGCTCAGATATCTTTAATAACCAAGTAGGTAGCTCATACGTTTATCCTAGCGCCCGTTCCCGCACCAAGCGTGCGAGCCATCTGGCCATCAGCTGCCCTGGAGTTTGGACTCGGACGATTATCGATTGGCAGCTCAGCGGGTCGGGTCGGATTCGCCGGCGGCCTGCGTGTCCAGTGGTCGGCGGGGGTGGGGAGGACGCTCGACAGGGTGGGGGAACAGGGGGAGGGGTTTTTTTCCGCAGGTCTAGCCAGATTGGAGCCGTCTCAAACATTGAACCGCAAATTACCCGGTCTGAACAGGAAGCGCCCTGAAATGAGAGTGGTAGAAACGGGATCCGGCCGACGGGGGTGGCGAGGGCGTGAGGGAAGGGAGAGAGAGAGAGAGAGAGAGAGAGAGAGAGAGAGAGAGAGAGAGAGAGAGAGAGAGAGAGAGAGAGAGAGAGAGAGAGAGAGAGGGAGGGAGAGAGAGAGAGAGAGAGAGAGAGAGAGAGAGAGAGAGAGAGAGAGAGAGAGAGAGAGAGAGAGAGAGAGAGAGAGAGAGAGAGAGAGAGAGAGAGAGAGAGAGAGAGAGAGAGAGAGAGAGAGAGAGAGAGAGAGGAGAAGGGATTAAGAAAGGGAGGAAAGGGACGGATGGATTTGAAGCCTGACAATAAAAACTTTCTTCTCCTAGCCTTCACCCACGTGTAAGAGGGGCGGGGGAGGGGCATTTTTGTCTTCACTACTCTTATGTGTGCAAGGTGAAACTAGTATCGCAGCCAATTTTATTTCCTAACTTGTAAAAATGCTGACCCCGGGACCCAGGCCAGGTCACTTTCTCCCAGGTCTCGTAATGGACTGTTGTCTGTTCTAAGTTCTAACCACTAACCAGCATACACGGACGTAGTCGGTACCTAATGGACAATGAAATTAATTAAAATATTAAATAAGAATGTGACTTGTGAGCTGCAGCCTGCAAGTCTAGCGTCCACCTTATTTCTAGTTTCTACTTTACTTTCTTTCACAACTTTCGTTAGAGTCGTACACTACGTACACAGCGCGACTTGAACTGCAATTACAAAATATGCTTCCTTAGCCACGTCATGCGACACGCACCACATCAGTTACCACCAACTCAAACTACATTGCAAGTTGCAACTTACCTTTCAACCGTGCACCAGCCAAGCAGTCTACGAGTCCAATCTATACTTATATCCAAGGCCAAGATTCTCAGTCTCACAGATATTCAAAGTCCCATTCCAACTCACTGTTGGCGCGCACACCTTGCAATTGAATTGAAGAATTGAAGGACGGCGATCGTCCAGCGGCGTGCGATAGTAACGACTGGTAGCGACATCTATAAAATGGAAAAGGAATTATGCTTTCATTTAGTAGGTGTTGTTCTCATAATGCGTTCGGAGGAGCCGCGGCCGGCGAGCTTATATCAAGTTTTCTGCTAGGTTGCATTAGGCCCTGGCCACTGGACCTAGCTTGACATGATAGAAGTCGCGTGTTTAAAAGTTTTCTTATCTAATATTCTACAGTCGGATCCACTTCCGTTTCGAGGTAAAGCAAGTCAGTACCTATCTGGAAGCTGAACAGTGAACAGGACAGCCTCTGCACACACCGCTGACCGTATTCTAAAGCATGTAAATTTGACCCTCGGCCTGAGCTCCCCTGACGTAGGAGTATCGGTAGCCAGCTAAACTACAGGTTCCGAATACTTTGAGCAGGTGGCAGCACCTCTGCTGAGCATGTGACCTTCCGCCCAACGCTTACCGCGAGAGGCCCTCCCTATCTGAGCTCTCGACGTGCCGAGAACGACCTGCTCCAATCGGCACTCAGCGCTGAACTGCTCATCGTCCCTCTTCGAGACTACGATAAACCAACAGCAAACCAGCAGAATCATGGACCGAGATACCGGCAGCACGCACGCCGTGCAGCCCAGCCGGTATTTGAGGATCATTGCAGCAAATACGGCAGTATACTGCTGAGTCATCCGCCAACAGAGGCCTAATTCAGAGATGGGTGTCAACGCATAAACTCCCAACACACTTACTCAACCGTACAAATACAACACACGTGTTTAAGACGCATTTGTTCATATATTCACTATCAAATAACAACTTATACAGCTTTAACAACGGTGCTGGGAAGGGTTAAGCCGCCCCTGGACCTGAACCTCTCCTGCCCATTGCTTTCTTACCAGATAAGGCTTAACTCGGCTAGAACAGCGGAGCCGGAAAGAAAGTTAAGCCTCCCCTGGGCCTGAATCTCTCTGCCTGCCCGCTGTTGTCTCTCTTACGCGTAGGATATAACTAGACGATACAATTATGAAGTTCAGCGTTAGTGTCGCGGCCAGCGGCCGGCCACCAATCGCGGGCCGCAATTCATGCAAACAGAAGTGGAGAAAACAGACCTCCCTCGGCCGTAAGCGCCGAGGCATTACGAATCGCGGAAGAACACAAACTAGACCGAGAGAAAATGTTACCCAGCTGGGAATTCAATGCGATCAACGCGATCAGAATAAATCAAATAAATACGGCCCTGAATCTCCGAAAGTAGCTCGTCAGTGGTTCACGATCGCACAGTGGTTCACAATCTCGCGATTGGTGATGGTTGACAGAGGCCGGCGCAGGTCTAATTCGGTATGCAAGTGTGAAACAAGGTGGGAGGATCCATACGGACACGACAAGAGAGCTCACACTGGCGTATCCTGCTGTCAATCTACCCGCTCGGCCACCAACCGGGATCAGTCGGCGGAGCGCTCAGTGACTTCACTCTCACACAGACAGGCACAGACGCCCGCACAGGGTCACACTCCTCACTCCGAGAGGGGAAACAAAACGAAAACCCGGTCACGATCGCAGGCGGCAGCGCAGGGGTCGAGACGAACTCCAATGGGGTCGGCAATGTCGGTCTACATCCTCAGAGAACGGATGTACGCAGAGACGGCAGAGGATACTGGCGGGGGTCGGGGGGGGGGGGCGGGAGATATGATGGGATATATGTCGTATGCTGGTGGGCGTGGACGGGGATTGGCGGCATGGGTTGGGATAATTTTATCAAAATGGCTGAAGGTTCAGGCCATATCAAGAAAGGCATATTGAGAAGACAGAAGTGGTGAGTTGGTGTGAAAGGGGGTGAGAAAAAGGAAATGGAGAAAGGGATAAGGAAAAGAAAGCGATGACGGAGACAGTGAGGTAAGGATAGGTAAACGGGACGGGGACAGGACACATAAGGGAGGAGAGGCCGTGAGCGGATGATAAGCGGGACAGGACACTTAGGGGGGGGGGAGGGGAGGCCGTGAGCGGAGGATAGCGAGGCAGTCTGGGCGGCGGCTAACGGTTCCCAACTAGTATGTGGCGGCCCTTTCTCAGAGCGCACCGCATGACTAGAGTCAGGTACATTGCGATCACCCATCTAAAAATATTGCGCGTCGCCGCGCCGCGACGGGCGTGTTGTGGCCTGGACACAATACTGCTTCTGAGCAGGCCGGGACGACGGCGGCGCTGTCGCCAGCGCCCACTTCAGCGGCGTTCGGCGTCGGCGGCGCGGAGTAAAACGTGTCTCCGGCGCGCCTCAGACGGCCGCAGCGTGTCGTCTTTCCGTGGGTCGCACGCGGCGGCCCACCATCACAGATCCGGTGCTGATTCTGTCGCCGTCCGCTCCAGCAGTGCGGACGGGTGCTGCTCGTGCTCGGGGGGCTCACAACGAGCGCGGCGTCACGAAGTCGGAGGGCGGCGCGGCGGCCGCGTGGGCTCGATTCGAAAACGTCACCGTCGGGTAGGAGGCGACCGCAGAGGCGGCGGGCGCGGGGGAGGAGGCGGGCGTCGAGGCCGCCGCCGGAGGCGCTGACTCCTCCTCGACCAGATCTGCAGCTCCCATGCGCGTCAGACCGTACTTCATCGACTCGTAGACGGTCCAACAGATGGCCGTTGACGGCATCTGGTAGACGACTCGCGCTCTCAGGCCACGGAAGAACCCGGGCAGGCCGCCGTGGCTGTACACAATCCGTACGGCGGCGGCCAGGCCGTTCACGGTCTGCGTTCCCTGGCCGAGCACGCTGGCCTCCTGGGTGTTGAGCAGCGTCTTGCAAACGTCCAGAGGCGTGGTGATGGCGGCGGCTCCGGCGCCGGCCAGAGCACCGCTCAGCATGTGCGCGGCCGGCCAGTACTGGCGCTGCGGGTTGGTCACCCGCTGCGCCCACTCGTACAGCACAAAGTGGATCGACTGGAACGGCACGTTCATGGTGAGCTGGGTGCCGTAGGCGCGGTAGAAGGCGCGCAGGCCGTCCTGTCGGTACACGGAGCGCGCGCACTCCACACACGACCGGAACGGCGAGTTGTACATCTGCATCCGCTGCTTGACCACTGAAACACACAGACAGGGGTAAAAGGTCAGCTTTTGACTGTAATGAGAAACTAAGGCGTGGAGGGGGGGGGGGCTGGAGACATGTTCATTGACGAGCGAGGAGAAAAAGTAGATCAAAATGCTGTAGTTGGTCATCAAGTGGAGATGACGTTGGTTTCGGCTAAGAATTTGAAAGAAATGTTCCAGGTTGATGCGGAATGTTCTAGAGAACCCATGTTGCAAAAATATAAACAATCGTGTAAGGTGATTTGTTAATTAAGGTGCAGTGCATCAGACCACGTTACATTTCTGGAAGCTTGTTAACGAAAGGAGCGCCAGAGCGGCCTGGAACCTACCAGGTCAACGCGCCCTTCGTTTACGCTAATCTGTGCCGCCTGTAAAATGCGCAATCATTCCTGCAGTCTGCACTGCACGAATTATTGACAACTTTCTACGCACCAGTAAGAATACAAATCTAAGTGCAGGGTTATGTGCACGATATGCCGTAAATACGATTGTACGCCGTTTGTCACACACGGATGGAATCATGGATCCGGCGACTAGTTTCAGGCAGGACCAGTATCAGCGTGCACTGTGCATTGTGTATTACATAACCCGCGGTGGCCCCAGCTGTTGATGCTGTGCGTCTGTCAATTGGTTGATTGCCGGCGAGCCAGTCTGTGCAATGTGCACCAGTCAGAGGTCCAAGGTCGACCGTTATAGGCAGTTACTGAGATCGGGTGCAGAGGTTGGTTTGGTTAAGTCAGAGTACAGCAGAGAGGACAGAGAAGGGGGAGGGATAAGGATAGGGAGAGAAGGGAGGTAACACGCTCCGACATTACATGGTGGATCGAAATGCGGAGAGCAGATGGCGGAAACCAGACAGTAGACTATCGAGGAGCGGACGGCGCTGTGAACAGTGGATACCCAACAGCCAACGATTGATTGCGAGATGACAAAATGCCCAAAGCTTCGCAGAGCAAATACCTGAAGCAGCCCCTGCAATAAGCAGACGTACGAGTTGAAGAGCAGAGCCTGCCATTGGGCCTTGTTCAAGCACGTTGAAAACGCACCTAGCGCAAACGGCGAGTCATGACCGGCGAAAACTCAAACGTGCCTTGATCTAGAGTCTAGACTAAAAGATAAAGATAAGATAGATCATGCAATCTGTAGATAAGACTAGGGAGGTTTACAGAGATAAGAAACCGTTGGATAGAGATCTAACAGGCAAATCTTACGAACGGGTGCAAACCAGCAGACGAACAATTACGACCGATTCCAGGAATCAGCATGATAGTCAAAACGGTCTCTCCGCTCTCAACGACCATGGGCGAGCGGCGGAGGCGGCGACTAGCATCTCTAATTAGCCATTCAGCTCTGACGCTTCAAAGTTCAGCGGGCACTTGGGGACGAGTTTCCCAGCTTTCATCCGGTGAGCCACGTCACGGTGACCCGCCGATTACCGTCACGGCACGGCCCTTCCGTGACTGGCGGCCCGTTCATGACACGACCAGCCCGGCACGGCACAGCCCCGACACACCGCGGCGGCTGGCGACGAGTGACGTCATGGCCTCGTGACTCGGCAGAAACGGCCGCTCGCCCTTCTCTCTGCCCCGCGGTGCAGCGAAAATGGAGGACGCCACCGAGTCTGTAGTGGCGAGACCATGAGATGCCGGGACGGAAAAGCGGATCGGCGTCGGGAGAACGTCCGCTGAGCGCGTCCCGAGCCGCCAGACGCATATACAAACGGATAAAACGACCGGACACGGATATAGAACCGCTCCACGCGTGGATATTGGATATATCGATCCGACATGGATGCATAGAGCTGTTCAACATAAGTAGGCGATATGAATGGAAATGAGACTAAGCAGACAAATGGATGATAGATATGACGACATGAACGTGGATACCCTGTGCTGATCGACATTTGGATATGTTGATACAGCAGCCAACACGGTTATGTATATCGCGCCGTCCTACACATCGATCGATGTAAAACGAATAATGGATATGGGGACCTGCCACGAACACGTATAACGACCTGACACATGAATACATGGAAATGGGTTATGGCTATGACGAATGCTAACCATCAAACACATGGGTACAGGTGGATCGGCGACATGACACGCCTGGAGATTGTCACCCAAACACCAACAGCCGGTCCAAGCTGTGGTCATAGTGCAACGCAAATACAGCGAAACAGCACGCAGACGTGTGTACTGAACATGCACTAAGGTGCCTTTGAGTAACACAGACTTTTCCACCGTTCCCACCCCCAACAAACATACACGTCACCATCAGAACGGGCCGCCAGACCTGCGAGACTGACCAGACTGGAGGGGAGGGCTGGTGGCAGTCCAGACACCCCCTCCCCCGTTTACGGTTACCAGCACCGATGCGGCAGAAACCACGGTCGACTGCCGTCCAATGACCAAATAAACCATAGCTGATCGCTCCCAGTAGGGAAGCAAACGTGCTCAGCAGAGCTGGGGGAGATTGTGCAATGCAAAGTTCCCCAGGATAAAGCATGAAATCACCACGAGCGTGCCAATGCCAGAGTCAACAGCAAGGTGCAAGGCGCGCCAATCCGCATGACATCAGTAGCTGCAAGGGAAAAAGACCGAAACATTCCGTCGAAAAGGGTGACGCATTGAGGGCTCTAAATCGCTACTGCTTTATGTATTTATTGGCACCTATATGGTCACTGCAAAGAAGCCTTAGCATGAGCCACATAACCCTATCGCTATCGGCAGGGCGACGATGTTATCCTGCGAGTGGCAAACCACCCTCCATGGCCCCCATACCATGTTCGTGACTACGGCCCCCCAGAGAAAATCCCTGATCTGCAGAACTGCAACTGCGCCACGGCGGTAGCAGATCGACAACGAACGATAATCAAAGGCTTGGACAGCAGTGACACAGAGTCGATAGCGCCGCACCAAGAAACGATGCCGATTACGGACATAAGAAGCAGCCAAAATCACCCAGTGTCGGTGTTGCGAATATAAACTAGACAGAGACAAAACCTGACATCAATTCATCGGAATAAAACAAAGCGGAGGTTTGGGAGGGTATGCCCCTGGAGAACAAAGTTCCCCCTCAGGTCAACACGTTGGACCTTGGCGGCTCATTTCGCGCGTGTTCAGCGCGGTCGAGGTCAGTCACCACGGCCCAAGGTGATCGCCGCCACTCAGTGCCCGGCGTGGTGCGGCCGCGCGCCGTCCTCACACCCGGCCCGGCCGGCCCGGGAGGCGCGGCGCTCCGCTCAAGGTCAGACCGCACCACAGCGGCCATTGGGGGGGGGGGGGGGGGTAACGGGCCGACCGCACCGCACCGCCGAACGCCCTCTCTGGGTCAATGGGGGGGGGGGGGGCGGTCCCACGCCCAGTGGGGAGGGCGGAGCGCAACGACGCTGCAATGCTAGGCATGTATGAAGGAGTGATTTATGATCAACATTTGCTTGTGAATGCCACGTAAATGTATGCTGGAAGTCCGAAGTTTGAATGCAAGTTGACAGATCTATAAGATTATCGTAAATCAATGACTGCGTGCCGTATATTCAAATCAGATGAATAAAACCTACTAATGTATGACCTAATATCAAACGCAATGGAATAACCGTCGCGGCCCGTTGACTTGAAGCTAAGCCTGCAAGTGAACATTGAACAGTTCATGAAAAATAACGACCTGCCCTGTACCGTTCGCGCATGGCTTTTGTCTGGCAAGTGTCTGGAGTGTTCAAACCCATGGGAAGTTTCCAGGATTGACTTTGCGACACGGAAAACATGCGAAAACAAGCGCGTGACCAATAGATTGGAATTTACCAAACGGAGCTCCAATATGTTTCGAGTGAATAGGCACAACCAGAGCAGGTTAAGACTTCTGTTCGGTGACAAAGACAGACCATAGTAAATTCCGCTAGCAGACACCATTATGTGTCGCATTTTTTTATTTCATACAAATATACATATAGGGGGCTTCAAACTTCAAAGGCTTCAATATGCTAGCGTTTGGAACAGAAAACTGATGACTGCGGTTATCTGAAAGCGCTAGCATGTTTGTGCATATTCCCAACCACAATACTTCTCTTCGCTACAAAACAGCATCGAATGACACCAGACCAATTCCTAGTATCCCAATGTGTTGTAGATGGAAAAAGAAGATGTTCGCTGTGCTAGAAGCCGCTGACATTGTGCCACGGAACAAGGTTCAGTAAAGAACAAATCTTCGTAATCGAAGGCAGACATCGTCCACAACTCACTGCATTCTGTTGGATCAACAAGCAGCAACCATCTAGCCCGCGAATAGACTGCAGTCAACAGAATGCAACCTCAATGGATTCCCAGTTTCTCAATACGTCAGAGCATAATGCCAAACCAGGTACTTTCCCGGACCGCAACACGTCATCGATGACGTGTTGCGTCATACCTAGGAAAGTCACCTCACCCGGGGAACTACACATCAAGTCTCTAAATAGAAACACCGTCAGACGAACTACTATGTGCACCGGGACGTACCGGTCACAACGGCAGGGCGAATCCGACACAGCCGGTGGATGGTCGACAACGAGAGAATGAGACAGAGCTGATAGCGTGGAAGTAAGCGATGTCGGTATGGTCATATCGCATTCAGCAGTGAGCATGTCCCTGCACTGGCACTATGAGCGTGCGCCGATGCTGCTTGCATAGACGGAAACAGAAGCGGTAGCTTCTGTATATGTGGAGTGTCTTTCACGACGCCATCAACTAAGCAACTTATACTTTCTGATCAAGTTCTTTGGTGCTCCCTGAACTAGGACCACTACAGGATGTCATTATCAGTGACGAGTTAATTTATGCCTTAGTACCCTTCCACACGCTCTTCCCACCCAGACGCACACTTTCTGGCGACTCCCCTCGGCGGGCGCGTCCACTCACCATCCGCGGGTGTCATGATGGCGTCATGGATGAGGGTGGCCACCACGCCGGCGGCGCCCGGCGCCAGCGAGTGCGGCAGCACGCGCGCCTGCTGCAGACGGTCGCGGAGGTTCTCATAGGAGGCGAAGTAGAGTGCGTGCGCGGGCCCGGCGCCGGCCACCACGGCCGACATACCCCGGACGGGCCGGAGGGCGCCCTCGTGCCGCACCATCCGCCACAGGGCGTCCGAGACGCCCCGGTACCGTGCCGCGGGGGCGGGGCTGAGTGACTGCATCCGCGTCTGTCGGAAAAAGGGCGAGGGGAATCAGGGGTCAGTGGGTAATGATCAGAGGCCAGGGGCCACGAGGTCAGTGGTCAGCACTCAGCAGGGGAGGGGAGAGGAGGATGGTAAGCGGCCAGTGGTCGACGATAGAAATGGAGACTAGGGGGTCTACGAGAAGGGAAGCCAAGGACGTCGGGGAGAAATACGAGCACTCAAACATTGCAAACAAATGCGTAAAATCGCTACGTCAAAGTACGACGCAAAAAAAAATGCAGCCTAACTTTTCGATAAGGCACGAGGGACAAAGTTTGACGCAGCTGATATGCAGGCAACTAATGTAATCAATCAGCCACCCGACCCCGCTTTCATGTCAAACACCACATGTGGTTCTACAACACAACTGTATGTACATGGCGTCAGTCCCACAGATGACCCCGCCCCACAGATTCCACCCCCTCCCCATCACCAGGTAGGGCCGCAGAGGGGGTTGGGAGGGCGGGTGGCCGAAAAGGCGGGCTGCAGCCGTCCCGGACCGCGGGCGACACCGCCAATATTGCCACAGAACCGCCAATATTGTCTGGAGCCGCATGTCCAAGGCTGGCAGAACGCCGCTGCGGTTCCGAAGCGGGTCTTTCTGTGTGTCAGACAGCGATAGTGGAGCGTTGAGCGGCGGAGGGTAGGATACGGACAGGGGCACAGGCGGCGGCCTCGACAGCCACGGAGGGGCAGGGGCGGGGAAGGCCGTACTGCGATGTTGGTTGCTAAACACAGAGTCGCACGACGCGAACCGAGGATACACATTGGCTGGCGACGATTCCTGGAGCGAAGCAAATATAAACTAGATTTCTCGTGTCTGAAATTATCTGAAGCAAATACAAACTAGATTTCTCGTGTATCAAATTAGCAGACAAATCGACATGGAATATGAGAAGTCGGTACCTTGTCTATAGCCACGCAAGATTTATGTTTGCGTTTAGAATAACATAGAAGGCCAATAAAAAGCTGACATTTCCCTTTCAAATATTATCACGATGAAACATCTACAGTAGCTGATGATGTAGCACACAGTCCGTCCCCGTTCTCGTTCTTATCCACGTAAGCCCAAAAACTACTTCACTAGGAGTATATTTATGTTTACTCCACGGGACGGGACGGGACGGGACGCGACGTGGCTCTGCGCCGTGACGAGGACATTGTTTCTAGGTCAATCACCAACCGTCTGGAGCGCGGGTGACTGCGCTGGTATTCCATAAGGAGCCATCCACATTCCACAAGGAGTCATCCCTGTTCCCTAACGGACCATCCGTATTACAAAAGGGGCAAGCCGTGCTCCATAACGAATTATCCATATTCTGTTACGGATCGTCCTTATTCCGTAACGGACCATCCATGTTCCAAACCATCCACATTCCATTAGAACATCGATGCAATACTGATTCTTATGGAAGATGGGACAGCCCCAAGGGACAGCCCAATCTCATGCCCCCACCTTCCTAGTAAGCAACCTGCACTTGTCAGGTTCAGGTGAATTTCTGCACACTGTTTACACAATACACACCCCACATACCTAGTTTTGAATTCAATGATACACTAAGCTTTGCTTTGTGAATCTACCAAAAATAATGATGCAGATTTTACAGAGGGGTATACACACTTCTGTGATGTGGACCACTATAGTCAGATTTTTTAGGCCTGTCTGATCAATTTAAGTGCACAAATAAATAAGGCACGAGTCAAGCTATTGCAAAGAATAGTCGAAAGTAAAATCAAGATTGAGGTACATTTTCAGCTAGCCAGTGTTAAAGGTATGGAGGCTTCACATGGGTTTTTCATTAGTGCTTTAAATGATTAGACAGGCTTAAAAAAATCAGACTATAGGTGGGGCTGTGTTTTGACATGGAGCAGTGTGGACCAAATACTTAGTTCAAATACCTGATGATCTACCTAATAGGAAGTACAGTGTTGATGTCACACTGCTCCAGCTTCCAGATATGTGCTTATGCATTGGATACTTGGTCTGACTGAAGTCTGCCAGCATTATGCCTTTTTAATAGCTTATTACCTTTTGAAAGTGCTTACTTCCAAATCATGTGGTCAAATCATTTGAGGCCTTTTTATGCAGGCCAGAGCAGGAATCTGCATTTACCAATAAAAAGCTAAATTATTAGTATACATGTTGTCCTACTTCCTAGCACAGACATGAACAGAGAATAGATTATATGCAACATTAGATAATCACCAGATCCAATGCTAATACTGTTAGTGCTGACTGTTGCATGGTGTTGTAAGCAAAGTTTGAGAACATAAAACTACTATTAATAAGACAATTACCTACCTTTACTGAATCCAGCGGATAAACTATGCAGTGTTCCAGGACTCCAGCAACTGCACCTCCAGCCATCTGCACTGTTGTACTCGTAGTCGGAAGGCTCTCGTAATCAATTACTTCCAGCTCCATCTTGATCCTGTCAAGTCAGTCGGTGACACACCAGGGAAATAAGCTAAAATTAGAGCGCTCTATTTATTGCTCCCGCTACTTCACCGTCTCCCATAGGGTCCTGTGTTGAGCTGGTGTCGAGGCTCTAAAAATGACGCCGATTTTTGCACCCTTCTCACGAAAACCGCTCGGACCGCCTGGAAACTAATTGTTCCGCTCTAAAAATTTCATGATCGACGGGAAAATGAATGAGGAAAAGATTGGTCCTGAAATAATTCTGAACTCCCTGTAGAACATATCGAAATATGGCTGCAAACTAGGAGCATGTCAAAATCGACAAAACGATACAAATAAACTTACCGGGATTTTTTTATTTTCCATGCATCTGTGTATAAAATCAGTCGGTTTTTCGGAAAGATAATCTTCTGTTTAATAAATAATTCCACAATTGCAATCGAGAAAAAAAACATTTCTGCTGTGACGGCAGTTTTGGCATTGTGCCAGTAGTGTGGCGTGCGCGGAGCTGCGTCGTCGTCGGGACGGAGTTGTGAGTATTTTCGGCGTTTTAAATGGTTGACGGCCATTTGAACCAGCTTTATATTATTTCCTACAAATTTTTGCATCAAATTATTGCTTTGAAAGACCATTGAAACCCCTTATCTCTTCATGAAACACGATCATATTTATCGTCGACGAAAATGGCGCGGGACCCCATGTGCGTTCCGATCGAAATAAATCGTAAATTAAATAATATTCGATGATAAGTATCATATTCTAGTGACACATTTTCATAAAATAAGGCATAAACTTTGCAAGGAAGTCAACATTGGATGATTGGATTCTTATTTTGCTCACATATCCTTGTGTAGTCAAATGGCTCAATTGTTAGATAAATGTAAGCATATGTTTTGGCTTGATGTTTGCTGTGAAACCACCCAGCCACTTGCTGGTTGAGTGGTTTTTGATAATAACCTGATAATCATTTCTCCTTTTCCTTAAAAGAAACTAAAATTCTTTTCAAAGTAATCCATTTTTAGGAAAGGCGGCTTGCTCATTGACATTTCATGTTCTTGTTTTGTTATTGCTGGCAGTATTTTGATACAATAATGCAATATGAATTTTTTGCAATAATAAAACCTAAGACAAACCTAGGCAATGCGTCAATCAAACACCCAACAGAAAGATTGTGAGTCCTTGTGACGTGAAGTAGAACATTCTATGAATGTGTTATATAGAATATGCCAAATTTTAAATTAATTATACTGATAGCTGAGCATGTGAATTATGCCACAATATAATTTCATTTTCTGGTTTTGAAATAGCGGGCAGTATTTTACTTCAACAAATGTATTATACATGGAATACATGTTGTTATGTTATGTTAAAAGTTTAATAACAGCAAACAGAAGGGGCTGTTTCAGCAGATAATGTTTGTACCTTATGCATTACCTTTCTTTTCTGCAGGACCATGCTTCCGCTGGGTGGTCGACATTTGCCTCCTGAAGAAGTTGAGCAACATGAAGACCACCAGATGAGGTGTCTGCAGTTCATGTGGAACTCTGCAGACTACAAGTGTTATGCCAACCACAACCAAAGTGCTGTGATCATGGAGGCATGAACCTCATGACAACACTTCAGATTTGCAGTTGTACCAAAGTGTGATTCAAACCACCTGTGGCATCTCACTCAATGTGTGAACAGTGTGATCATTGTGCAGTGTTCAGCTGCAACTAAGACATTTATTAGTGACTTGTTTTGCAATTAGCCACCAAAAGCATTTTTGGGCTGGCTGCTGTAATTTGTTGTGCACTGCGCAATAGTGGTAGTGTTTTGTCACTTGTCAAGTTGTCAGTTGTGCATGTTGCATGTTTCTCTTCCCTCGGCCCTCGTTATCAGTTAAGTGGTGAATTGGCATCACTCAGTCTCCCCAGATCTCCATTGACTGTCTGTCAACCACCTAACTTGAGATGGTATTTGCTAATAGTGTCAGAAAAGAAGTGATTGTAGACATTTTTAGGAATATGAGCTCCGTTTCATGCGTGTTGCGGTGGTCATTTTGTCACTTGTCCCATAGTGTAATAAATGGAAACTGTTGTTCCCTTTTCAAGGTACTCGCAGTCGCGGATGCAGAAAGCGTTGGGCCTAATTATTAAACGCACCCTTCTATCAGCGACGCACGAAATCGACAAATATCATCCTTTTTAGAGCAGGAGGAAACGAAAACTTGTGAACATAGCTGTACCTACAACAGTGCATAAGGAATTGGAATTCTGGGAGTTTTTGAACTTCGGAGAAACTCAAGTTGTCGACAGGTATGCCCCCTTGTACGTCAAAGACCGCCTAAAAAACAAACGTCTACAAATGAAGGCAGTATTCGTAAGTTCGTTGTAATTGCAGCAGCCTAGCAACATGCATTGCGGTCCGATGGCGAATTACACTCGTGCTAAAAAAAACTATGCCGGTAACTGCCAACGTACTTAGGTCGTAGGTGAGGAGAGGAAGGGTTATGTCAAATGTCAACATCAAAGAAATGGCTTCATCTGAGCTGTGCCTATTGTACATAATTCAACCAATCTATGCATTTCGTTTCTTGCTAGCTACTCATGCTTTCACTCCTGCTTCAGAGTAATCATCCCATATTGTACGTCTTAAGATATTGATTTCTATGGCAGTTCGCAATTGCTAGCCACGTCTCACCTCAGTTTGGTGGCCCCGCATCGGCCCACTCGGCCGCTCTAAAATTGACTTACGGAGGAGGATGGTGGCTTTTATTTTAGCTTCTCCGCTGACTGGGGGGAGCGCCGTCGCCGAGGTAGGAGCAATAATTAGCTTAAGTTTGGGACTAATTTCCACGCTTAATTAACATTTTAATGTTATTTTAATTAATTCATGTTAATCTTTGACGCATTCTCTTTCTATTGATACCATCCACCGGCCTGAGAAGTACTGCCTTGCTGCGTAAGGGCCGATAAAAGATCACGCTTTTAGGGGTATCTCTTCAACATGGGGCAGGAGCAATAAATAGAGCGCTCTAATTTTAGCTTATTTCCCTGGTATGTCACCAACTGAAGTCACTGGAAAACAGCACCAAGCTTGTCAGGCTATCAAATGACAGAATTCCAAATAATTTATCTAATTTTAGCTTCAATTAAACTTTGAAATCAATGCAGTAAGCGAGTCAAATCACTTGACAAATCAAAATGACAGCTGTCAGCTAAAATTGAAGGCAAAAAGTGGGTCTCAATTTGGCGTTTCCTGTATTGAACGAGCACAAAAAAGACAGATTTGCTCAACTTTTTGATCAAACAGCTGCTTAAGATTATCAGTCATGCAATTTCTCCGAAACTCACATCAATATGCAAAATTATAACCTAAAATTCACAGCCTCCCACCCGCGTGTGGGGAAACGACCGAGCACGCGCACCACTCGCCGCCAACTCCACTTTCCATCGAGGTTCAGTTTAGTTCGATGAAAAAATGTTGGCTGCCATATTTTAGTACAAAACTCCTTAGAAGGCAAGTGAGACAGTTGTAGTCGCGATTTATGTGTTCCAGTGGGGTCCGTATCAAAGCGTCCAAAACCGCAGCATCCAAAGTACGCAACATCCAAAACCGCAGCGTCCAGAGTACGCAACGTCCAAAATACGTCCAAAATCGGGTTTATAGGGGGCATTCACAAAGTCCAAAACCGAAACATCCAAAACCGCAACGTCCAAAAACGTATCATCCAAAAAACGCAACATCCAAAGACGCAACATCCAAAGTACGTAACCTCCAAAACCACAACGTCCAAGACCACGACATCCAAGGCACGCAACATCCAAAACCAACCTAACCTTACCTAACCTAACCTAACCTAACCGAACCGAACCTAACCTAACCTACTGATTTTTGCCTATCCCTAACCCAACCTAACCTAACCTAACCTAACCTACTGATTTTTGCCTACCGGGGATAAGGAAACCCAACCTAACCTAACCTAACCTAACCTAACCTAACCTACTGATTTATGCCTACCGGGCATAAGGAAACCTAACCTAACCTAACCTAGCCTAACCTAACCTAACCTAACGGTTTTGGATGTTGCGTACTTTGGATGTTGCGTACTTTGGATGTTGCGTACTTTGGATGATGCGTCCTTGGATGTTGCGTTTTTGGATGATACGTTTTTGGATGTTGCGGTTTTGGATGTTTCGGTTTTGGACGTTGTGAATGCTCCCTATATACCCGATTTTGGACGTATTTTGGACGTTGCGTACTTTGGACGCTGCGGTTTTGGATGTTGCGTACTTTGGATGCTGCGGTTTTGGACGCTTTGATGGTCCCCCGTTCCAGTGGCGCTAATATTGACGGAAAAAATGAAAAGGAATTCGAAATACTGGAATTTTATCATTGCGTTGCAAAAGTGTCCAATAAATAACTAGAATTTTGAATTAAATTGTAGGTAACATGAATGAGAAAATCCTCAGATAGCATATTTACGTCTGGACAACGAGTTGCGTTGGAGAGGCCGGAAATAGTGGCGATTTCAGGACCGCAAGAATGGACCGTCATTGGAATGATTCTTTTTTAAACCGTGAACTGTTTTCAGCCGGAATTTAATAGTTACTACAAAATATTTTGTAATTACGTTTCCACCAAGAATGAATGCCATCAGGGCTAAATTTTTACTTGTATTGCATTTTGTCAAGAAGCATATAGTGCTGTTATATTGCAGTTTTAGCGCGTTTGTTACAAAATATGAAGCGAATAAGCGTCAGTGTAATTCATTAGTGCCAGAAGCTTGAGGGGAAGCTATGCTAATTGCTCTTGTCCATCCACTAAAATTTATTAAATATTTTGCTTTGTGTATTCCAAAAGGAGAGGGAACTATTTCATTTGTGCCTTCATGTCAGAATTGATGGTGGATCATTAAATTTTCAACGCAGTTTACAAACAAGCATTTGGTCTTTCTCGTATATAAGCAGTGGCTAAGAAAAGGTTGATCAATCCCTAAGTTCAGTCATCGTACCTCAACTTGGCAGCAAGATCCCCCAAGGACAGATGATATATTGTATACATGTCCTGTAAATCAAAGAAACAAGCATTTGGTCTTTCTCGTATATAAGCAGTGGCTAAGAAAAGGTTGATCAATCCTGAAGTTAAGTCATCGTACCTCAACTTGGCAGCAAGATCCCCCAAGGACAGAGGATATATTGTATACCTGTCCTGTTAATCAAAACATTTTTGTGCCTGCAAAGGCTTAAGTTATCTGTGGTGTGTTCGGAGTTAGGCCATATGGCCGTTTTTGTTGTATGTTTATGTGGAGATTGAATATAACTGTGACCCTGTGCTTGTTTGTATACTTACTATGGTCAAACAGGGAACAACACATTCACATAACATACTCACCTAGCACCTAACTCATAGCTGTACCCTGCAGGATCTGTACTTGTTCATGTCTCGAGCATTAACAAAGCACTAAAGTAGCTAAGTAATCATTTCCCACATTTCTGAGCATCTAACATGACATACAGCAGTGCAGAGCAGCTTCAGAGAAGAAACACTTTAAATGCACAGACTCACACCAGCCACCCAATGAGCCAGTTCCTCAGTTGACTGTTTCCCTGGATGCAGCTTGGCAATGTGAGCTAACATTTTGGCAAGTTGAAGGTTAGCAGGTAAGATTGAGTTAGGGTGAGTACCTACCTATAACTGGGTGCTACTGCTATGCAGGTCTTGGGTAGGCTGCAAATATGTGTGATGATTGAGGCTAGGTTAGCTGTCAGGCTAGTCAGGAGTATGCTCATTGCTCAGGTCACATTTTTATGGACACTTGGCATATTAAAAAACTAACAATCTAATCTAAGCTAACCCGACTAAACATACACAACTACTGACTATAGGAACTAAGCACCTACCTACTTGTGCATACATCTCATACCATGTCAAAGTAGAGTTCCTTGGTGGAAGATTACCCTCAGTACTTTTTACCCCAGCCCTGTGAAGAAAACTAATACTTCAAAGCTCTGAGTCACTGCTGGCCATCCACAGGAAGAAACGCTGAGACTGAGAGCTTTGCCATTGTATATTGGACCAATAATCACTATCACGAATGACTATGAACACATTATATGATCACATCGTTGCATGGATTGTCACATTGACAATTCTACTATAATCCTTTTTTCAAGAAATACAGTGATGATTAACATCAAAATCAACATAAAGTCGATTTAGTGATCCAAGCTTTCTCCTCCAGTAGCAATAGAATGATCGCACGTTTCATTTGCCAGACACTGAGTACCTGATGCACATTACAATCTGCATAGCATGAAGCATCTAAGCTGCCCAAATCCATTCATTCTAGATTTTTAACTTGAAAGTTAGCACTAATTTATCTTGCTGTTGTAAGTTATCATTCAATATCCATACCAATACATCAATATGCGCTCACCAGTCAACATTTTCTGGCATGATCCTGCTCAGCGTGCTCTTCAGTAGGTATTGCTCCAAGGTCTGCAATATTATAGCTTGTTTTTGGCCAATAAGCTCTTTTAATTTTACTTTTTCTTGCTGATATATGAGCCCGATCACCTTGCGTTTATCAACCAAAATTTCATAACTTGTTCAACTTGATATTGATGTTGCTGAGTCAGGACCTCTGTCAGCCTCCTGGATACTTCAGATTATTTTCAGTCAACATGCTTCTTAAATATGATATAAGTCAATATTCAAAACATCCAACAAAACGACGTACAAGAGTAAGAAAACCACCAGATAAACTAAAAAATGGCCTTGGAACAGAGCCAAGTGGTGCTCCATTTGTTTGTTTACAATGATTGTAGTGTTGATGTATTTTTAGGACTCTGAACGTCGGCTTATAAAAAATGAAACATTTTTACAAAAGTTGTAAGGCAAGTAATATTTATCTGAAAGAACTAAAATATTCAAAAGCCAAACACTATGAAATACATGAATCGGAACGAAAAAGTAACCCAAAAATCCAGCCTAATCACCGGCTCCTAAAACTGCAACAAAATTAGCACTTTTCCCCGCAACTCGTTGTCCAGACGTAAATATGCCCTCAGATAACACTTTTTTAGTAAGGCTGAAATATGGTAGCACAATTACTTTTGTGAGGTAACGTAGAACCTGAAGTAAAAGTAAATGATGACGTCAAAATTTTATTTAAAGCCAAACAAAATTAAGGAAGGAATTTTCAAATGTTCGGAATTTACGATCCAGACACATGAATGTGTGAAGTACGGATTAATAAAAAAGGCGCCTTTTTAGACCTAACTCTTTTTGTTTATGACGTTTTAAGATTACGTAACAAATGTAATTGTATGTGATGCGCCACTAATCGTATATCACGTTGATCAAAAATTCCAGTGTATATTGCACTGAACTCTATAATGGTATATTGATATTAACACCAAATTCCACCAAATTCCATCCAATGTATGCGAGGTATGCATTATTTTTTACTGATGATTAGATTGATGCTTGGATTGATGTGATTGATATGTATTGGATTTATGATTTATATTTTATTTAATATGTAGGGGATTCACTATATCCCCGAGAATTGGAATAAGCTGTGTGAATTCATGAATACCCATCAGCATCCAGCATTATAATCATAGTACCTAGCCATTCTTGTGCCGCCGCCTGCGGGAGGCGTTTACACATTTCATATTTGTATTTCCCTACCCTTGTCTTTACCTCACGGAATCATTGCATTTTCACTAATAATACCTTGCCACCAGCCATACCCTCACGTGTTCGAGAATGTTGCCATGCAGCTATGTCTGATAACTAGAATTGTAAAATATGGCTGATTGATCGTACATGTGGTTACAGGGCACATCTTCATGATATATAGCTGTTTTGATAGGAGAGCTCGATAAATTTTCCTCATGCTTATTGTTTCTGCTACATGAAGTACAAGGAGAGGCACAATTCAAGTTGTGATGCAGTACACTTGTGCACATGCTCTGGTGGCTGTCACTGGACGGAGGTGGACAACTCAAGCTCAGGAGATGACTCCGATGCCAATGACTTTTTTGGCTCATCCTCAGAGAGTGAGCCAAAACGTGACTCTGAATTGAAGCCCAAGCTAGACAATGGGCATGGACAGTCTGAGGCTGTCACCCCGGCCTCTCGGTCTCAAAGCAGAAACTCTTCCTCAGCCTCTGAAGCTGAGGATAAATACAGCTACAGCAGTAAGACAGCGCCTGAGGACGAGAAGCGGAGTGAAACATCCTCTGGATCGCCCACTGCCAGCAGTAGCAGTGAGGAGAGCAGTGATGAAAACAGTGATGATGAAGCAGAGAGTGATAATACAACAACAGACCGTTCAAGTAAAGCATCATCAGCCTCACTTGCTGTTGAAGTGAAGTTATCTAAGAAGCAAACACAGAAAAGTAAAGCCAAACAAAATAAGGAGAAGCAGTTGGGGGTGTCCCTGCTCGAGTTGTATCCAAAGAGTCTGTCTTTGGTTGGGTTAAGCAGCGAGAAGAAAGAAATCCAGACACGTCCATTAGCTGACAGGTAGGATGTTATTCCTATATCGATAAATGTATTAAGAGCTGTAAGACTTGTATTTTTCGCTATTTCCATCACAAACTACTCACGTAGCCAGCTATTTTTCTAGTTGCTTATAGCGACTGAACTTTCTTATTTCTCTTCTTGGCTTCTGGTGACCTCTATATATGATGCCTCTGGCTGGTCGCACGTGCAGGCCCAAGTCGTCGGCATCCGCCCGGCCAAGTCTGCAGACTCGCGTGCTGTCGAGATCCAGATCGCTGGAAGAGTTCACCGCCTCACTCCCGGAGAGACTGAAACAGAAAGGATGGAACATGGGTGAGTTTCTCCTGCCGGGCTTAGGCACGCTTCTCAGCGGCACAACCTCAATATAGTAAAGGACGCTGCCGAGTGCTGAAGCTTATATTCACTATAGTTCACTTGTAGATGGAATAGTTCACTTTCCCGAAATTGGTTTTTGCTACCTATGTATTTTTGATTGTTTATGCTCAAAATGATCAGCAAGGAAAATGAAACTTTTTTTTTGATTATTTTTTTATATTTTGATAAAGGAAGAACTATATTATATATAAAATATTGTTTGACACTGAACCTTCTTACGCATTGACCAATCATTGCATAGCACAAACCCACTGGCTGTAAGCAGCATGATGATTGGCTGACGATGACTTGGCTGCATTCCTCAACAAGGCACGCATTCCTACAATACTACTATTCCAATTCAATGCCCCATGTTAAAAGTGAACTATTTCCTTTAAGAAATATCCGTGCTAAATATGCGATATACGATGCGGTAGGCTTCAGATGTTCAGTATTTCAAATTGTTGCTGGAATTGCCTCCAAAATGCATTGTAAATTATCGTTAGAGTGTTAGGCTTTTAGATCAGTATGTAATTACCGGTAATTACGTAGGTGTTTCTTTGGGATTTTTGTGAAGAGCTGACTTTAATCCAACTTTTAATTAAGTGTAACCTATGCTGACTGCTCACGTTTTCAGACACAACTGAACTGATGCGTCTAAATAAGGCGGTATATGAAGCATGGTATTTCCACAAAGAAGAAGAAGAGCAGATGCTAAAGAAGGAAGCAGCCAAAAAGGAGCTAGAGAATAAAATGCAGAAACCGCGGAAGGTATGAATACACGGGCAATACGGAACCGGCATTCTTGGCAGGCTCATAGGCTCATATGTTGTTGTTTGTTAACGGCTGTCGCCTGTCCGGTCTGCTTACTGGCAATATCAGCCCACGTCATGAGGCTTGTAATATGTTAGCCATATGCCTCTTTATACAGTACATAATGTACATTATGAAAGGCCCATGCTACTTCATATCTTTTTACAATTTACTCACCCCTAAGTATTTTATCGCTTCCTTCACGATATACCTAATCGAAACTTCATGGAGTTTCAATTATGTACCTACCTATACATTCTTGGGGTAAACTATAGACTGTGGTTCACTATAAATAAAAACGCGACAGACTTTTTCACTGCCCAATTAAAAGTGAAATGTGTCGTATGCTATGCTCGCCTGCTTTTGTCTGTGTGATGCTATGGAAACGAATGATAAAATGGGACTGATTCTGTTGACAAAAAGTACATTCCTTCAGCTTTTTCAGAAAACAGTTCCAAGAAAAACTAGAAAAATAAAGATGTCTGAGAAGATCAAAATGAAGATCGACAAAGAGGATCCAGGATGGGATTGGATGAAGGAGAAACTTGTCAAGATGAAGAATGCGAAATTCAAGACCGACGCCAAGGCTAAGGAGGAGCGAGAAGTGCAAGAAAAACGCAAAGCCTCGAAAGTCGAAGAAGGTGCTTTGGTAAGGGCGACGATGATAAACTGTGTATTGGTGTGCTCCTATGGCGCCCCAGTCCTGCACATTTTTATCGCAAAATTGAATTATGCAAATATATTTTCAACATGTTCACGTGACCCGATCGCTATACTTTGTATTACAAAATATTGAATCTACAATTTTCAGGCATATGCTGCTTGGAAGACACGTAAAGACGAAATCGCTCAAGAGAAGCGTCGCAAGGAAAAGAAAGAAGCCAGAGAAAGGGCGAGAGCTGAAGAAGAAAATGCACAAGAAAATCGTATTTCGGCTGAGAAGGTATGGAATGCTCGGGAAAATAGGGGCTCTTAAAAGTGATGAAAATTGACGATGGCTCAATGAAAGCCGGTAAACATTATTTTACCATCGTTCTGAATTCTGGTGTGCTAAGGGTTTGTTACATGAGTGCTGACTGACCTCTCTTCACTCGGCCAGGTATTTGAGCAGTACAAGGAGCGGGTGACCGCTGAGCAGCGTGAGGAGACGCTCCGGCTGCGGCGGCGGCAGCGCCGTCTGGCCGACCGCACCGCCCGGCTGCTGGAGACGCGCGACCGGCAGGCGGAGGCGCGCTACCACCAGTGGCTGCGGGAGGCCGCCGAGCGCGCCTCGGCTCCCCCCGACTCGGCCGACCGGCACACGCCGCCCCCGCCGCGGCCGCCCTGGTACCCGGGCGGTCTGCTGGCGGGCCGGCCGGCCACCGAGCCGCCGCCGGCACCGGCGCGGTCCGCGCGGCCCGCCAGCGCGCTGCGGACCGGAGGCGCCCGCGGCTGGCGTCCGTGCCACCAGACGCACTGCCCGGCGTGTCCATGCGCGCCTCCGGCCGCCGAGGTGGTCAGCTCGAGCCGGCCGGATGTGCGTCTTGCCGTGGACCAGCCGCTCACGTGCGCCAGTCGCCGCGCCGTGTTCGTTGTCCGCTGCCTGTTCTGCGAGCTGCAGTACGTCGGCTGGACGCTGCAGTCGATCCGCGCGGCGTTCGCTCGCCAGCTGCGCGCCCTGCGTGAGGAGGCCGGCTCAACACTGGCCGACCATATCGCCGAACACCGTCGGAACAGCGAGCGGTTTGTGCCGCTCACCGAGTGCCTCGAGCTGACCGGCGTCCGCGCCTTCCCCGAGACTGCCTCTCGACACGCCGTGACGGATTTCGCGCACGTGACGAAGGAGATTCTGGGCACCATCTCGCCAGACGGCATCAACCGGGCCTGATGGACTATACATGTCCTCATCGGACGACAAGTCCCAAAGCCGCCGCACATTCACATTTTACACGTTTGATACATTACGTTTGATACACTGTGTACACACGTTTGCACTACGATTGATTGTGAATTATTTCGACGCGCTATTTACATAGACGGATTTTACCATTATTTGTGATAATGTAACGTGAAAGTTACTAGTCAAACGTGTGCAATTTTTTGTATTTTAGTTTATAGTGTGGACGTTGTCCCCTGGTCTTATCCAAGGCCATCTTTAGAATCTCATCTCGCTGTGATGTGATTGTGTAATAAATCTACTCTGATGTGTTTGATTCAGCTCTGTTGTGCCGCTGGCCCGCTACTGCGGTGATAATCTGGTTGGTTGGATGATATTATAATTCGATTTTTCTGCCTTTTCTTTAGTTCCCTTCTTTATGCAAGATTTGGAGCCTCCCTCCCGGACATAGAAATAACGACTATCTATGCTCCCGGACGACGTGATTCTACGCCGGGCGACCAATGCTGTTCAAGGCGGCAGGGGCTGGGCTGCGGTTATCGAACCAATTTCGATTGGCTGGACGACGTAGAATGTTCTTAGTCCGAGACTGCGAAGTGCGAACACGCCCGAAGATGGGTGGTAGTGAGTAGTGACTTGCAAGATAAGGCGTACTACTCGTAACTATCAGTACTAGTCTATGGCTGGGGATATTACTACTACTCGATGGCTGGCTTGAGGCCTCCATCTCATTTTCCTATGGTCACCGTCACCGGACGATATGGTATTTTGCAGAGCTGGGCAAGTGCGTTCCTTTAGTGCGTTCCTGCGTTCTTCCGTACGTACGCACCGCCCTTTTTAGGAACGCAAGAACGCAGGAACGCAAAGTTTTTTCAAAGGAACGCAAGTAAGAGGAACGCACCACCCGAAATTTTGAAGCGTTCCTGCCTTCTTGCGGAACCACCCGAAAAATTATATTGCTGCCAATGACCTCTGTGTCAAATGTTTGAATCTCGAGTGTGTTTGCCGGTAGAGGCGCCACTTGCCGGTCGAATCGAGGAAGGCTTGCTTAGATTTAGTGCTGATGTTTACTATTCGATTCGGTTTCAGGCATTAAATGTGTAAAGATTTTTAGAGGTGATGTTTACTGTTCGATTCAGTTTCAGGCATTAAATGTGTAAACCCTAGTAGCACATCAACATTGTATCGATGTTGTATCAATATTGACAACAATGTTGTATCGATGTCAATCTGTTAGCCACTTTCAACATTGATACGATGTTGAATTTCGACATCGTATCAATATTGACAGGACAACATTGCACAACATTGTTTCGATGTTGATACAACATTGTCTCGATGTTGATTTTTGGTTGATTCAACATTACCTCGATATTGATTTCTGGTTGATTCAACATTGTCTCGGTGTTGATACAACATTGTCTCGATGTTGATTCTTGGTTGATTCAACATTGTTTCCATATTGATACAACATTGTCTCGATGTTGTCGACAGACCTACGTATACGTGTACGAAATCACGTATCCCGTAATTACCTAAAATATTCCAGTGTCACCGTCACAGTCAATATTCGGGGGGAAAATGTATTTCTATGATATATGCACAGCTCTTCACTTTTTTTCGAGTCAGCTACACTTCACACATCACGTCACGTCACACAACCTCGGCTGCCGCTCAGTCTCCGCCATTTTCACATCTTGAGCGGTTGAGTCAGGGCCGTGGGGGTTGAGTCGCCCGTCGAGCCTCGCACTCCTGTAACAAAGCGGAGATTCCTATGTAACAACTAACAACGGTAATAAATTGGGCCTTTGAGTAAATTCAGTTCAGTCATTTTCAGCTCAGATAATAGATACTTATGTAAGTGCATTTAGTATGACGCATGTACCCTTAATACATCCCACTACCCTGCATCTATTCTTTTATACTTACCGGGCCCTGTTTCAAGGCATGGCGCTACATGACGCCACCGGCAGCACTTTTTCCCTTTGCCGCAGGCAAGCAAGTGACGACGGTGATCGCCACCATTTTGAAGAGAACGTTTCAGCGCCAGTTTTTTTTTTTAACTTAGCACTGCAAGAACTAGGATAAATGCACTGATGGTCACACAGCAGAAACTGGCGGAAACCTACATGGTCGGAAGAGGAGACGCAAGACGACACTGGACACCACACACTCAACACACCCGTCCGCACTCTGCGAGCCGGCACAACGGGACGGGGACGCGCGGTCCCCTGTCGCGGTCTCCCCCTCTCTAGCCGGAGGCGAGGATGGGACCGCCCGCTGCCGGCCGCGTACAGTCTTCAAAACGGTCAGCGCCCAACGGTCGCTAGATTCCAGTCGGTACGGTCTCTGAAAGAGCTCAGCGCACGACTGGTAAGGACCTACCGTGATACTTGAATGGCACCGGTGGCACCCGAACAAAATAATGCCTATTACAACAATGCTGCTTAATTCAACGTAGGTTGAGGATAATATAAAAGGATTTATGAAGTAGAGCTATCTTTATTTAAGGATCGATTCACTTTATAACTCTCTATACCTATGTCGTATTCAAGACGTATATGCCTATATAAGATACCAATAGGTAAAGGTACTATTTCTATAAGATCATATTCGTCTAGTTGGAACCTCGTGATCCCACCCTTACTAGTCCGATTGCAACGCCTTAGGACCTGTCGAGCTCATGGGACCCCTTACACCCGAGGGGGCATTCTCCCTTTAATATTGTCAAGTGTCAACAGTCAACACAACTGCGGGGCAATATAGTAATTAAATCACAATGTTGGAACTCTACTTTTATCAATATTGTGAAATCAACATCATGACAATGTTGTATCAATGTTGAATCACAATGTTGAACAGGCCCATGTCACTCCACTTTTGATGACATCATAAGGGGGCCACAGGACAATTAATGGCGCGGTGCGCCACAATCGCTCCCAAGCTATTGGCCAACAGCTGCCATTTTTGAAAATATTATTTTGAAATAAAGTTTCAAGTAATGAAAATATTGTAATAAAGTTGTAACTTAAATCTATACCATATCTAAAAACTTACTGAAAAATGATTTATCCAAAGTAAAAATATAAGCTCGATGCGTTTTTACGTTGCTTTCCTGCTGTTGCAGAGGGTTTTTAAATCGTCTATATCTTCAAAACCGGCCATTTCTTAGCATATTGCTGCTCTTTTTTGTCGCTGGAAAATTAGTTGGGCTTTCCATTGACGTCAACAGCTGAGCGGTATGTGCAGAGTGCCATCAATTATCTTCAAATGAAGTTAGTCATTTTTACGTTGCAAAGGAATGGAGTACCCCTTGCGAGCATCAGGGATGACGTCACTCAGGATCTGTCTCTGATTGGTCGGCGGGGGAGTGACTGTACCTTCTATAGATGGCCTTGATGTTGAAATTCTACATCTGTCGATATTGTGAACTCAACATTGGGACAATGTTGTATCGATGTTGAACTACAATGTTGAACTTCAACCAAGATTCGACAAAGCACAACCAAATTTCAACGTGATATCAACGTTGAATCAATGTTGAATTCGTGTTGAAGCACCAATATTGACAATCAACCTGATTTCAACATATCTCGATGTTGTATCAATGTTGTGTGCTACTAGGGAAGTAAATATGATAACTTTTACTAAGATACATCTTTTAACTTAACTATTGTTTTTAAGCAGGTCGTATTTTTGTTGAAAACCCTACGGATGATATTGGTAAAACGTATTTCAGATATTCGATTCGGAAAAGAGATGTCGAGCTGCTTTTCGGCCCCACGTCGCCATTCTGGGTATTCTGTGATCGATTCGCCCCGTGTTTGGTTGGGCCTGCGCCGCGTGGTTCGGCGGTATTTTTGAGGGAGGAACGCAGGAACGCAGGAACGCTAACGCACCGAGCGAAAAAAAAAATGAGGAACGTTATTCCAGGGACGCACTAACCGCGGCCGGAGGAACGCAGGAACGCTAACGCACTACCGAAAATCGAGGAACGCGCCCAGCTCAGGTATTTTGGCCACTTGCACCCAGTCAGCAATTTGGTTATTTAAATTCAGGGATTTATAAAAGTCCCGGGATTTATAATTTCTTTAGATTACACAGAGTTGTGGTGCAACCGGTGAGCCTGTGACGTCATTATGTAATGGGATGCGTATGTTCCTTTATATACTAATGCTTGACGGTTTGGAGTTTGCACGTGAAGAATAGAAATATTTGAGGAATTTGGAATTTATGTGGTTGGAGGCCATATGTATATGAATTATTTTCGTTTGTCGTCGTCCTAGTCAAAGTATTTATTATACACTGCTAGCTACTATCGTTTGTACATTGTTTATGGAACGTTTATAATGAATTGGTGCAGATCAGTCCAATCGCTGGTAAAGTCTGCCTTTTCAGGAAAAATAAGGTAAGAAATATAAATAACGATTTAATTCAATATCATAGGGTACATGAATTGTTAGATTTGAATGCATAAGCTATTTGATTCTTCAGTCGACTGTTAAGAAGTCAGATGCGAAAGTCCCTTAGCATTTTAATTGTGTTCTAATGAAGCTTATTTATATTACTATTACAATGTTATAACGGACGCCGGTGAAAACGGCGCAGGAGGGCATAATAGTCACGTGACATTTGGAACTTCTCCCCCTCTGTGGGCCTTCTACATGCTAAACGTCACGTGTGAATTTCACGAACCCTTATCAAATCGCCCCAGGCGCCCTGTTTTCACTGTCGTCCGCTATAACAATGGTCTTGTTTAATATGACCTACAAGTTGAGTGCAACTGCATGGATACCTACTGCAGATTCAGAATACATTTTGCTGCAGCTTTGCAATGAACTATGTAAGTAAGGCACAAATTCAGAGATAAGTCAGCTGACTGAATGAGTCGGCAGCCTCTGCTGGCCTGGGAGTGGTTGCAGCATTTGGAAGTCTTAACCCGCGCCCCACTGGGGGGGGCTATTTATAGCCCCCCCTCCCGTTTTTCTGCGATAACTTCCAAACCGCTTGACGTATCGACGCCAAACTTTCAGTACCTTCGGCTGCATCAATTTGACACCTTGTGTCAAAATTTTAACTTCGTAGCTACCATAGGTCGGCCGGAAATGACGTCAGAGTGACGTCATGTTCGGCCGATTTCGACGCAAAACATTGAACCACGGCAATCGCTCCCAAGAGCTCAGTTTTTAAGCTAGATCCAATTTCTTTGCATGAGAGGACTCAGAATAGACTGCGCTATCAAACTGCTATCTCGGATTTTCGAAATTTTGAAAATTTCGAAAATTTGATATAATAAAATCCAAAATTTATATTTTTACATTTTTTTCACAAAGTTTTTGACTTTTCGAAAAAACCGGAATATATGTGATAGAACGCATTATTATGACTAACTCTAGCAAGTTTTAGCTAAATATCTTCAAAAATGGCCAAGTTTTACGCATTATTGCAAATAATTCACAATTATTAATTTTTCAAATCAATTTTTCAGCACGTATTTGACATCGTACGCCAATATAAATAGCACCATCGTGTTCCTGAGCTCAAACTGCATCCAATAGACACCTTTTTTGTGGAAAAGTTTTAACTTCAAAATTTGACCTTTTTTTGACCTGAAAGTGACCTGACCTAAGCTAAATTCGACTCAAAATGACCTCGAATGACACAGACGACATCACATTCGAAATCTCTGGCCTAAATGGACCATAAAACATGTGTCACGTGACCGACGCATGATATAATATTTTCGTGACCTGTGATGACCTGACCTTGACCTGAAAATCAAAGTACAAGTTTGGTACCCTCGGGGTATCTAGAGCATCTGTTCACGAGTGTGTGATCCAAAAATGAGCCTGATCTGACTTGTGAGACGGCGGCCAGAGCCCAAAATGTGAACAAGCAAAATGCTAATAATTTTTACTTTGACCTGACCTGTGACGTCATCGGTGACCTCGAGGTCAATGAAATTAGGTTTCGCTCGACAGTTTTTCCGGGGCTATCAGACGCCGTTTGAATTTTGACGATCGGCCCAGTAGTTTCGGAGTTAGGAGGGGGGGCTATGAATAGCCCCCCCCCCCCAGTAGGGCGTGTTATACGCAGACCCCAGTGGGGCGCGGGTTAACTCTGTTGGCTCTGTGTCCTAGTGCCTATTTTTCATGGACAACAACAGATTTCAGTTATCAATGATGAATGAAGTGATCTTATCATCATATGAATGCTGCTCATATTTGTTGTGTATGGTAGATAGGTACCTACATAGGTAATTTACAGCTAATTCATGACCTAATTGTAATCTTTATGGCCTTCTGACTGCTTCTTGCATGTTTCAGCCAGTCAACTTTTAAAAAAGCAGGCCCCTGATTTCTGAGAAGCTTTCAAATGCATGCATCACATCTGTTTTCAGGCAAGAGTCCTCCAACTATGCACAGCTACGCTACATGTCAAGAGTCAAATCAAGACATACTGCTCCACGACACTTTTGGATGAAAAAGGAGCGAGCGGTGAGCTTGGCTACTGTATCACACCATAGCATTATTTGTGATGTTATGCAATGCTCTGAAAGTGGTTCTCTCTCATCTCATGTTGCCATCACTGCTCACTTTGTTCAAATTAACCAATTTTAGTTCCAATTCAAGTCGGACACTGTATCACCTACTATGAAAACTCCGAAAGTGTCATTTTTTAAAAGAAATTTTGTCCGTTGGTTGGTCATTGGTCAATGACCTGACCTGATCTTCAGGTGACCTTGACACCCACCCTAATTCAAGGGACCAACATCATTTCACATGTTTGAACGCTTGAAACTACGAAAAGACTGCAAACGCGCGGCCAATGCGAGCCGACATACGCCGAATCGCGATTCCGGCCAAACATGGTCTCGAAACGTAGGTCACAGGTCAAAGGTCATTTGGGTCAGGGTCATGAAACAGGGTAGGTTTAAGACTGATCAACTGGTTTCGTCGCGATCGGCCGCTTTTTACGCGAGTTATTCGCAAAAAAACCGAGGGGGGTCCGTTCGACCCCCCCCCCCACTCTGGGCGAGGGTTAATATAGGAACGCAGATCAAATGACGTGGAGCTTCCCGGCCGCGAACTCGCTGCCACCGAGCTAGGAGACGGACGCCTTATCCACTAGGCGACGGGAGGTCATGGCTCGGGTGTTGGCCATCAGACATCAACCACTGGCTAGATGGTAGATGCTAATGCCAGTTGTGAAAAGTTCCCTCCCCCCTCCTGACCGGACCACCTCCGTCTGACCACCCCCCGTCCCGTCTCGTCAGCGGTACCCGGAGGAGCTGAGCAGTGAGAACGAGGCGTTCCTGCGGGAGGTGGTGTCGGACCGGTACGAGTCCCCGCTGCGCCACCATCCGCCGGCCGCGCCGCTGGCCTATACACCGGGCGTGCGCCGCTGCGGCCTGGTGGCGCGCAAAATCGCCGTCCAACCCATATGGCTCAGCAACGGGAAATACGTCAACACCACCCTGCTGCATGTGAGTGACACGCCGCGGTCCAATGGATCGGAAAAAATAAATACACAAAAATACACTTGGGTGGAGACTAGCGTCCAACTGGCGTCTAGCTGTTGGACGGAGACTTCCAAGCTAGACGCGTCTAAAGTTAGCTATCGCCAAATAGATGAAGCCGCCGTTCAGCTAGACGCGTCTAAGATTTAGACGCGTCTAAGATTTAGACGCGTCTAGCTAGACGCGAAATGGTAGTCTCCACCCTATAATTCAGTAATTGAGATACTAGTGAAGGTGTAGAAGAGGGTTGTTAATAAGTAAAATATGGGTCAGGTTATCGCTTAGATTGAGTGAATGGAGGTAACACGTGAAGGAATCAATGGAGGAACCTACTAAAGAACGAACCATTGAGTGAATGAGTGACTGAGTGAAAGAATGAATGAAGGAATGAAGGGTAACATTTTCCACGTAGTTAGATGCTTCGGCCGGCTTGCTGACCGTCCGCCTTCCGGCTCTACCCCGGCAGGTAGCCGATAACCACGTGGTGGGGTACGTGCCGCCGGAGATGCTGAACCAGAACGAGGTGGTGCGCCGCCGATGGAAGGAGCAGTACCGTCCGCTGGCCGGGCTGGTGGTCGGCGCCGACCAGGAGGACCCCACCAAGGTGCGACTCGAGACGGGGCGTCCCCAGACAGGGGTGGATGGGGCTCGTATTTCGTGACCGTTACCGTAGAAGTGTACTCGCCTCGCCACATTCTAGTGGTTCTCACTTATTCTTTATCCATATATTCTATGTCATATTCATAACTGCAGTGCCCACATTGGCCGTTATTACTTTATGTCGACTCTCATCCTGCTCCCGATCGTCTCAGTTGAAAACTCGTACTATGGATGAAGTGGAACCTCGTACCTTCAATCGTTTCATGCTCCTACGCTGGATCACTACCATGTCTTTCAGATTTATTCAGCTGATAAGTGATAACCTGGTCGGTTGATGTTGGGTTTTCACTCAGTGCTACTATATTATGTCGTCAAGTCGCAAGTACTGACTTCCTCTGGCCATCTGCCCACCACAGTTCACAAAGGAGTACGCCAACATGTTTCTGGAGGCGGGCATCATGCCCACGAAGAAGCTGACGCGCTTCACCATCAGCCCGGAGGCGGCGCTGGCGCCCGGCACTCGACTCCGGGCCACGCACTTCCAGGTCGGCGACTACGTGGATGTCTACGCTAAAACGTGAGCACTGCCTCTGTGTCTGTCATCTGTGACGGTGGAATCACGAGCCCTTTTTATGGAAATTAACAAAACACAGTAGATTCCAAACCTCATCTTATTTTCTTGACTTTATTTTTGACTTTATTTGACTTGACTTTATTTTTATTTTCACGTTAGCTTCGTCCGCTCACCGTTGCGACGCCCCTACTAGCAAAATATCACCACCGTCCGCCTGTCTGCCGGTAGGCGGGAGCGCGGTTTCCAGGGTGTGATGAAGCGCTGGGGGTTCGCCGGCCAGCCGGCTACCCACGGAGCCACCAAGACGCACAGGCGACCGGGCGGTATCGGTAGCGGTGCGCAAAAGTCGCGCGTCTGGCCCGGACAGAAGATGCCCGGGCACATGGGCGGCCAGTACCGTAACCTGCGCGGACTCAAGGTCAGTTTGTGCCGGCTTGGCGATGCATTCGATGTGCGGGGTTCGGAATACAGCCGAATGTGTTTTACAGACCGTTTGGCGTTCTGCCCGACTACCGTTACATGCCTCTGAATCGTTACATTGAGCGCTGTGTTTAAGCGACCCCAACGACAAGCCACGTTTTGGTGCTACCTATGGACGTTGCGGGGTTACCACCGGAGTCCGGATTTATGGACTTGATGACACTGCTTTTACTTCGTTGGATGTACCGCTAGCGTCCCATGCTCATCCTGTGTTCCATTTGTGGCAGATTCTGCGAATCAACACGAAACACGACATCATCTATGTGTTGGGTCACGCCGTGCCGGGCGACCACAACGACTACGTGCTGATCCATGACACGGTGCTTCCACTCAGGTTCGTACTACCGTAGCTCCCAAGCCCGTTGCGTCTTTGAGATGTGATGTGACTCACTAATGTGATTCAGCGGTCTATGGGAGGGCTCCCGGTGGTCGCCGGGGCGGTAGATTAGCTAGCTACGATTGGCGTCAGGGACCGGGATCATCGTGGCTTACATCCCTTTGGGATGAGTGGGTGCCGATGACCGCTGCACTTTCAGCATCCGAATACTCTCTTATCGAGTGTGAGGCGTGCGGGCGCTCGGGGATTTTGCTAGCAGCCGTCTCATACTTTGCTCAGGCGGCTGATCGTTGAGCCACTACACTTCTCTATGACTGTATGACGCCTGCGAAGTGATACCCCACTGACACTGTCTGGCATCTGCTGACCTGAGCGTGGCTGTGCCCACAGACGACGGAAGGAGCCGGGCACTGTCATCACCGACGAGGAGGCCGCCCAGCTGCCCGAGGACATTTTCCACCCTGACGTCCACCAGATGGCGGCGCCCTCAATAGTGTTCTAGTCTGGCGGCATCTCCTGGGGTGATGTGGCACCCAACCACCTGTGCTGATTAGTGTAATACATGTCTGAGTCCCCGAAGCGCTGCTGTGTGTAATGAGGTGCGAGTTACCCGGTGATGGAAAGATCGGGGTCAGGGTATTGGGCGTTTCGATGTCAGTTGGTCTATGAACGTGCCCGTCACCCTTCTGTCGATTATTCTTTAGTAGTCATTGCAGGGCACAGACCTCGCATTCTTGAGAACTCTCTCGAATGGACATGCGCATTGCGCAGTCAGCGCGGCAATACCCCGCCATCATCAAACGCGATCTCAGACACACCCACGTAATGGCGCGCCTGGTGCGCCACGTTTGTCATTATCAGTCAAGTCTTGCTTTTAATTAAAATAGCCATCTAGTATTAATGACGTTGTAAAAATCCGACCAATTGCGAAGTTAATTAAGCAGTTACGTCTGAAGGTAGATGCCAGAACAATTTTCTTTTAGTTTTTGTCCATTTGAAATCATTGCTTATAAGGTGGTTTTGTTTATTTTTATCATGGTAGCATATATGAGGGTTTCATGCTTTCGAACTAAAAATTAGATCAACGCCATTTGACAAGGTTTTATGACGTCAGCAACCAATGTTGATTATTCTATTTTGTTTGATAGATACTGCTTGCCCATTTTGCACAATTTTGCATATTTTGAACAAACAGCATCACGTAGTTTCCGTAGATTTGTGTGTTTCCCATTTGTTGTGATCGGTTGTGCAGTCAAAATCGCAATGAATATTCACTAGAGTATCAACTGTAGGTTCAGTATTGTTCAGTACTTCATAACCAGTCTGATCTTTTTCTCAAGTCGCAGGTTCTTCAGCAAGAATCACTGGATGTTAAAGCAGAAAATGAAGTTCCCATCTGTGATATTGCTGGTTTTCATGCTTAGCAACTTCTTCAACTCAGACGGTAATCAGATTGATTCTACGGGCTATACTATTTTTTTGAATGATTTGCGAGCTGGCGCGGTATGCTGGCGCTACCTAGCAGAGATTCCTATGTATGGGTGCGAGATATAGGCGACTAAATATCTATCAATTTTTATGAGTGCCATTTTACATGCTCACCATCTACTACCGTGCTTACATCAATAAGTGCCATAGCTATCATATGTCGCCAGCTGGCCAGCCACCTGATTTCATCCAGTTGTTAGTAAGGCCCGATTCTACCGTCATTTTGCAAGTTGTATGATCTTTCGTTCCTCCTGAGTCCTGTGCTCGTCACCTTGTGGAAATCCGAGGGGTGTTCACGGGCACCACACAATGCTGCGCGCGGTGTGTGCGATGCGTCCAGCAGGCGTGGGGGTAGGGGATGGGTTGGCGGTTCTGACGTCACGGCTGCGTGCGGTGGACGGTCCGCTGTGGCGAGTCCCGACCGGCCACAGCGATCGCTGTGTGCGGTGACGGAAGGCTGACGTAGGGGCGCAGTGGGTGGAGCTTCGAGGCTGTGTGCGGTCTGACCGCACACAGGGCCCGTGAACAGCCCTCTGGATTAAGTTTGGCAATCTCAATCTATGAGTTATTGTTTGTGCAGGGCTATCCATGTGGGCATTGTGATGTACCTAGATTTACTGTGGTCAGTGATGTGGTGTATAATTTGTGTGGAGCTGTGTGAGACTGTAGTGATGCTGTGCTGAACCTCTGTGCTGGCTCAGCATGGTGTGAAAAATGGTGCTTGGGGGACACAAGTATAAATATGTGTAGATGAAGTATGGTTGGTAAGCTGGGAGGCTGTCACTTACTTTTGGCTGTTCACGGGTCCTGTGTGCGGTAGGACCATGCACAGGCTCCAAGCTCCGTCCACTCCACTGCATCCCTACGTCAGCCTTGAAATGGATAAAAGGTTTTCTAACGAATCGGAAGCAGAGGGTTGTACTTGAAGGGTCAGTCTCTGACTGGACCTCTGTTACAAGTGGAGTGCCCCAAGGAAGTGTCCTCGGACCAACCCTGTTTGTTGCAGCGATCCACTCACTTCCAAACGAGGTCAAGAGTACAGTAAAAGTCTATGCTGATGACACCAAAGTTTACAGGCCAATAGCTAGTGGTCAAGATGCTGAACAATTACAAGAGGATTTGGACAACATGTTGAGATGGTCAACTAAATGGCAACTGCCCTTCAACACTGCAAAATGTAAGGTAATGCACATCGGCAACACAAACCCAAAGCTGGATAACACCATGGCGGGATACAAGCTGGAAAACACAACCCAAGAAAGAGATCTTGGAGTCATAATCGACGATTCTCTCCATTTCCATGCTCATACCGACGCAGTGGTAGCTAAAGCCTATCAGACCCTCGGAGTAATCAAGCGTACTTTCCTGAAGCTTGATGAATCGACCCTGCCACTGGTTTATAAAGCGATGGTACGACCAGTTCTCGAGTACGCAAACACCGCCTGGGGACCTCTATTTATTGGAGACCAGTGGAAGGTTGAGAAAGTCCAGAAGCGAGCAACAAGAATGATAACAGCTATCAGGCACCTTCCGTATGAGCGACTCAAGAGACTGAGATTACCCACTCTGCAGTACAGGCGGGGCAGAGGAGACATGCTAACGGTATACAACTTGTTCAATGGCAAAATCAGAATGGACTGGTCCAACTTCTTCTCAGTGGCTCCAGAAGATGCCCCAACCAGAGGCCACTCCAAGAAACTGAGAAAACCAGCAGCAAGCAGAGCTCTCCGACAACGTTTCTTCTCACATCGAGTCGTCGATCTCTGGAATAGCCTGCCAGAGGACGTAATCAACTGTGACACAACAAACAACTTCAAAAAAGAACTTGACAAACACTGGAAGGACAGAATGTACAATGTATGATGGAACAGAGGAAAAGAAGAAAACAATGATAATCCAGTAATGAGTGGGAAAACCACAGGTTCTTCTGATCCTATTTTCTTCCCAATATCCCAGTATACCAGTATACCAGTATACCAGCCTTCGGTCACTGCACACAGCTGTGTGACGTCATACGGACTATCCCTCCTCTACCCCCATGTCTGCTGCACACACCGCACTCAGCAGTGTGAGGTGCCCGTGAACAGCCCTCAGGCTAGATTATACATTTTATCTTCACCGTACTTCATCTGCACATTTACCAACACAGCAGCATTGGCCAGGGAAAAATTGACTTTTTATTGGTTTTGTTTTATCAGCTCAAGTGCACAGTTGTAAATTCTCTACCAAATGTTTTGGTGTTTGGTGGTATTTGGTGCTTGCTGCTGCGGATTTCCAGCTGGTTTTGGTCGGCTGGCTCAGCAGATCTGGGTATATCTGGAGATGAAGTATGAGTGGTAGCAAGGTTGGTAGGATGTAGGTTAAAGGTTAGTAGGTTAGTCGGTAAGCTTGGGTCAGGGTAGATTGTTTTTTTTTTCATCTACTTGGACTTCATCTTCACATTTATGTAGATAAAAAGATATCTAGATAAAAAGGTCAAAAGGTATCTTTTGGACATCTTGATCTTGATTGGTGCCTCTGTTTTCTCTTTTCAGCCAAGTTTGCTGGTCACATCAGGTGGTGTACCCTGAACACCTTTGAAGAGCAAAAATGCACAGACTTCAACCAAACATTGATAAAGGACAGCTACAAGTTTGGTTTCAATGCATTTTCGGTGGAGTGTGTACAGGTAACTACTTTTTTTTTGGTTTATGCTTTTCTGAGGTACATTTACTTCATTTTTCATAGGCACATCTGCTTTCTTTCAATTTCTGTTTGTTTTGTTCTTGTTAGCATTCCAAAACTTTCTGTACAGCAATCAACAAGCAGCATGCTCTACATTGTTCAGTATCCTAACGGCTAGCTTTTACCTGTGTCTCATTTTCATGGGATTAAAGGGACCCTCCCACCTTCAAAAAAGTTTATGAATTGGCATGAAAGTGATGTCGCTCGGTTCAGAAAGAGCGAAAACGAATATCTACCAAATTTCACCGAAAAAATATTCACCGGTTTTCAAGATATTAGACTTTTACTTTTGTTTACTTTTTTTTGGGATCTCCGCTGTTTCTAGCGACTTTATTTTAGAAGTGCGGCGTTTGCGGCAGATGTTGCGCGCAAATAGCATATACCACCGCGTGCTACAAAACGTTTTAGTCAAACATTTAAAAATCGTTAGATATCTGCGCTGACGTCACACATTCAGAGGGGTATTCCTAAGCATTAGCCCCTCTGAATCAAAATGCTGCAATTTTGAAATTCAATATTTCCGATTTAAGGCATTTCTCGATGTTGTGAGTGCCGAAACCGGTAATTGTGAGCCAGGGACCCCATTTTGGCTATCTCAACTCAAATCTAATGTTAAGGTGGGAGGGTCCCTTTAAGTGTGCATTGTGCATGTGTGCTGTGTAAGTTAGGTAGATTAAATGACTGTAAAGATGCCTATTGTACATATTATGATAATGAATATTATTCAGACGAGAATCCCATGGGCGAGATCGCCTGTTCACGGACCATCAGACTCACTCTACATCTCCATTTGGTAGGGTTTTGACAGCAGCGAATGTATGCGGATGGTCGACCAAGACCAGGCTGACATGGTGGTGCTCGACCCGGGCCTGACTTTCATCGCCGGCCGGTTCCACAGTCTGGTGCCCATTATGCAGGAGCTCTACTACGGTGAGTCACCTGTGTAGCGAGTTTGCACCTCCGCTGCGGCGCGCCGGCCCGGCTTGGTGTCATACCGTCGATCTGGTGTCGTGTGTGGCACTGTGTGAGTGCCCGCTTGTGTCTAGCTGTACGATGATTGACCGCCCCGCGACTGGGCGTGTGTCCGCTGGTCCGGGAGCGGTCAGTCTGAGGCTGGCATTGACTGTGAATGAAGTGTTGTGTGTGGAGCCGGTGAAAGACACCAAACCTGTTCACTGGCGGGGTCACCTGTCAGACAGTCCCTGGTGAACCGGTTGCGGTGAACGCCGACCATGGTTTGACTACACCTTTTATATGGACGTAGGTACTCGACCAAGTCTGACCAATACCACATTTCCTTTATATTCCAGGATTTCCCTGAAAAGGACAAGATCCAAACACTTCACATCATCCTGTGTCACCACTCACCAGTTCCAGAACGCTCCAACTAATTATGCTCTATGCCTGGTACGCCCTCTCTGGATTCCTACATCCTGCCTTGTTCCTATTTTAGGCCATGTGGATATATTTTTGATAAATTTACTTTATATGACCTGTCGCGCAGTTGGTTGCGTGTTATCTCTCACAGTAAGTGTTGTTTTAACTCATGTCGACATTATCTAGTTTATGGCGTTAGTTTTTCTCAGCGTACCATTACAGCGCTGCAAACAAGTGTTTGTGTGTGCGTGCGCATTCCGCATTTTCCGTGTTCGCTCACGGCTCTCCTTCGTTCAACTTTCCGCATTGTGTGCGCTCATAGGCAGCAGTCGTGTTCTGACGACGCTCCGGCGTCTCTCTGTACCACCTTGCCAGGTGACGTGCGCGAGTATTACGCCGTGGCCGTAGTGAAGCGTGACTCGGACATCCAGAGGCTGGCCGACATCCGCGGCAAGAAGGCCTGCTTCTCCGGCGTCGGAAACCTGGCCGGCTGGGTGATGCCGATTGCAAAGGTAAGACTCTGTGTGTCTATTGGGGATGTCTGTTGGTCACGAACGAGTGGTGTCATGAGCCTTGTCAACCGCACCATGATTAATATATTTTTCGTAAGTTCCATTTTCTCTGCAAAATGGCATGCTTTCGAATCACTGGCATGCTCCCGTAACTGCTTATGACCCTGGATTTGTAATATAACTAGTATATCGCTATTGCTAGCATGTGACTCTGGATCCGTAATATAACTAATAACTATATCGTATTGCTAGCAGTAGCAGTATAGCTGCTCGGGATTCTCGTTTGCCTGCTCGAAGCGTTAGCTAATGGCTGAATGCCGGTCTTGCATTGCAGCTGATGTCCAAAGGTGAGATGAGCATTGCGGACTGCAACAACCACGTCAAGTCAGTGTCGGAGTTTTTCGGCGACAGCTGTGCCGTGGGCGCTCTTACCACGCAGTACAACCCGCTAGGTGAGGATAATCACACACATGATTCTCTGGTGAAAAGGAGATATCTTGATGAACACTGATATCACAGTTTTTTTTCTAAGCCGCCACCTAATTAAGTTGCTACCAAATGATCAGTCTTCACTCTTCAGTGTATGCGGCGACTGGATGTAGGGAATTTCGTCAACTGCTGGAACGGTGATTGACTTTATTTAATCTTAAAGTCAGTGCTCAGGTCACAGAAAAACTCGCTATGGAAGGAAGACACACATTCTCTGTATACTGATCAGGTCATTATTACGTTACATCTGTCTGCCGTTCAGGTGACAACTCCAACCAGCTGTGCGCGCTGTGCGGCGCAGAGGAGCCCGGCGAAAAGTGCACCGACGCCGACCCATACGCCGGCATGGAGGGCGCATTCCGCTGTCTCGTGGAGGCCGGTGACATCGCCTTCGTGAAGCACTCGACTCCGAGCGAGGTGATCGCGGCCAACGCCAGAAAGGGAGTCGGCGTGCGCGTGGCGGGAGAGGACGCCATCACTAGCACCGCCATACCGCGTGAGTTGGGAGGGATACAGCTGTGGACATATAGGTATTGAAGATATTATACTCTTCAGCTACTGTACCCATCAAGGCCGCGCAATTTAAGCTAGAATTATGAAAAAGTAGCATGGGATGAGGCAAGGATAGGCCGCTGGGACGGGAATTTATTACGTGTCCCAGTGTAGGTTATGTTTAGTACCTATAACACCACTGACCACTATCCCGCGGGTGACTGTACCGGCAGATGTTCCTTATTTTCACCGCCAACTACTACGAAACCCTCCACCCCCACCCCCACCCCCCATCTGCATATCCTACGCACTCTCCTCCTTTTCCCTTCCCCTCTCCATCCTGTTCCTCTCCCTATCTCCATCCCTCCCTCCCTCTTTTTCTCTCCCCAGCCAACTGACCCGACTGCACGTCCCGTTTCCAGCCGACATGGACGAAAACGAGTTTGAGCTCGTCTGCCTCGACGGCGGCCGGCGGCCCCTGGCCGATTACCAGATGTGCAACTGGGGACGTATTCCCAGCCACGCGGTGCTCACCACCTCAGCCAAGCCGCATGACCTCAGGATCAAGTATCAGCGCTTCCTGAAGGTTCGTTATAGTCTGACTGATAGTGTGGTCAATCGAGTCAGTTGACATTTTTGTGTATGTATGTGTGTGTGTGCATGGTTTTGTGTATGCATAATGCCATAATTTTGTGTAATGCCATAATGCGTACACCTGTTAAACGTAACATGCGTTTATGACTCTATCCTGTGACGCTATTGTCGCTATTCTCTGACACTGATCTCTGACGCTCTTCACCAGGAGGCGGTGAACCTCTACGGCTCGCCCTCTCCCGTCGAGCCGGACGAATACGGTGATTATCGGTTCGCGCTGTTCGAGTCGTACCGGTACGGCGTACGACCCAACCTGCTCTTCCAGGTGAGTTGGAGCGATTCGGGTGAGTTTGGGTGACTCGGGTGAGTCGGAGTGATATAGGAAGACACCACGAATCTCTGAGTCAGTCTTGATAGACGCTGGACCTGTGGAGAAGGGAGGGAGGCGGTTTTAACGATAGCATTAACTCTTCTCACGGGGCATCTGAAAACACCAGTATACAGAAGACTCTTCTGTATACTGGTGTTTTCTATAGATGCCCTGTCAATTTGTAGACCACACACAGTACTGTCGCAAAGGCCTACCTCCCATATTCTGTTGCACCGTTCACGGTCGTGCTCTTTGTGTCTCCTTTCAGGACTCTACCGTGTCTCTGTACCCGATCAAGCACGACGACCAGCTCTACTTGCGCTACCTGGGCGACGCGTACAAGGACATCATGGAAGTGCGCTCGTGCCCGGTGGGCGCGCTTCGTCTCTGCGTCACCTCCTATGCCGAGCAGATCAAGTGTAACCAGATGAGGGTACGTCCTGCTTGGGGATCGTGCTGTGAGGGCTGGTGATAGTCTGTGGGGTTGGGGGGGGGGGGGGGCTAAGACGTCTGGGTGTGGATAGGTGGAATGAGAAGAATGTGTAGTGCCTAGATAGGGACGAGAGCTGGTGCTATGTTGACCACCTTTAGGATGACCGCCAGACTGCTGGGATTTAACCTGGACGTGCAGTATCGTTTCAGCCACTCCGTCTGGTGGTCTAACATCGTCTCTGTCCTCCATTCCCTTCGCGCTGTGCCCGATACTACGCATGCCTTCTCCCGAGCTGTGTAGTTCCACCCGCTTCTGACATCTCTCGTCTCTCTCTCTCCACCACAGCAAGCGCTGCGCGCGCAGCTGCTCAAACCGGAGCTGACCTGCTTCCGCGGCCACAGCGCCATCGACTGCATGAGGCAGATCAACGGCGGGTAGGTACTGCACCCACAGCGGTGCCGGTGGGCCGGTGTTGGAGTCTCGCCATCTTTACCTCAACCCCATTTGTAACTTCTGTTAAAATAATGCCGGACAGTTGGTTACTGAGACCATTTGTAATTGGACCAGTGAGTGAGATATGCATAGAAACGAAACTTAGCAGCATGGCTTTTTTACAAATTATTTATTTGAATTGAAATGCTTGCAAACTAGCATATCAATACGAGCACATACGAGCTGTTCTATATCCAGCGGCATCAGCTGCCGGCCTGTGTGCCATGGTAGCCGTTGACAGTGCAGTGACGCGGCCCTGCTCCCCTGCCGGGCAGTCTGGCCGATATGGTGATGCTGGACGCCGGAGACGTCTACACTGCCGGCCACCAGTTCAGCCAGATCCCCATCATGAACGAGGTCTACGACGAGGACAAGTCCTCCTTCTTCGTGGTGGCCGTGTCGAAGGAAACGGACCTCGACACGGACCTGCTCTACCTGCGCAGTGAGTCGCCCCCCCCTCTCTCTCTCTCTCTCTCTCTCTCTCTCTCTCTCTCTCTCTCTCTCTCTCTCTCACTCTCTCTCCCTCTCCCTCTCTCTCTCTCCCTCTCTCTCTCTCCCTCTCTCTCTCTCCCTCTCTCTCTCTCTCTCTCCCTCTCTCTCTCTCTCCCTCTCTCTCTCTCTCTCTCTCTCTCTCTCTCTCTCTCTCTCTCTCTCTCTCTCTCTCTCTCTCTCTCTCTCTCTCTCTCTCTCTCTCTCTCTCTCTCTCTCTCTCTCTCCCTCGCTGTGTTCTCTCCCTCCCTTGCCCTCCCCTCATATTCTGTCATGAGGCTGTGTAGTGTGAGTATCCGTTGCTCAGCTCCCTCTGTTTTAGCTCCGCTCCTTTTTCGCGCTTTTACTGCTCCTTCCTTTCACATTTTTTTCTGTACGCAACTGCCCAGTCCTTTGTGCTTTTCACCCTTTGCGTGCTACTGCGCTTCGTCAGAGGCTGAAATCATGGTGTTCAATCTGAAATCATTTCATCGTCTTATTATTAGCCTGCCCTGTTTGTCTCAATCTCCATCCCGGTCCCTGCCTCACCGCCCCGCCGCCGTCTCGCCGCCAGACAAGAAGACGTGCCACACAGGCGTGATGGAGGGCGCCGGCTGGGTGGTGCCCATGGCCTACCTCATCTCCAACGAGAGGATGCGCGGCTACGGCTGCGACTCGCTGCAGGCCGCCGCCCAGACGTTCACCAAGGCGTGCGCGCCGGGAGCTCTCAGCAGGTGAGAATGGGGTAGAGTGGCGCCCAAGCGGGTGGAAATACAGACAGTGCATAGCAGATAAGTTAGTTTATCCGTATTTTAGCAGGTGACGGAAGATTGTTGGTACTGGGTGTCTTATTGTTCGCCGAAATGCGTTCATCTATGTTGTTGTTGTTTTTTAAGAACGCAGTGTTGGAATAATTTGCCTGAAGGACATGTTGCACGTTTATCGCGGTCACGATCATATTTACTGCGAATGATAGCGCGCTGGTCAGGCGAATGCCATACCCGGTTGTGACCCTTATCTGTCTTGTCTGTGCTGCAGTGACTACAACTTTGGCTACAACTGGTACAACCTCTGTCAGCTGTGCCACGGCTCGAGCGGCGACTACTGCGCCAGGGACGCCTCTGAGGGATACTACGGACACACAGGTCAGTTTAAAGACGTTCTGGTCAGTCAGAGATCGCATGTGTCAGTCAAAGGACCCTCGATCCAGTCAGCATAAAGAAAATCCGGCTCACAAGGAAACGCAGGGCAGTCCACAGACATGTGTCTCTGACTCTCTATCAATGAACGGGCATTGGGCAACCATTCAATCAACACATTTTAGTCGAATATTCACATTCAGTGTAGATAAGTTCACAACCACGATGACGATGGTCAGTCAAGGGACCTTTGCGACAGAGCCGCTCAAAGTCGCTCGCCATGCTACAAGACAGTCAATCAAACCAATTTGACGGGTGTGAGTGGACCTAAGATGACCCTTTGTATACTGTGTGACGTCCTCATGTAACCGGTGTAACCCTCCTTTTTACCCCATGCCACCCCGGACAGGCGCGTTCCGCTGTCTGGTGGAGGGCGGCGGTGACGTGGCGTTCGTGAAGCACACCACCGTCCAGGAAAACTGTGACGGCAAGCGGCAGGAGTTCTGGGCGCGCAACCAGCTGACTGCCGACTATCAGCTGCTCTGCCGAGACGGTACGTGCCCGTTTCCTCCAGACGCCGTGGTCGCATCTAGTACGTATTCTCTGGATCATGATCTATATAATTATATAGTCTTTAACAAAGAAACAAACGAACCAAACTGAAATATTGTAAAAACCATAGACATTCTCTTCAGATGTTCTCTGTCTCTCTGTGATCGCCGTCTCAGTCCATCGCTGTGATTCATTCCCTCCCCACCCCACCCCTCAGCAGTGGTCGCTGCGTCCTCCCTCTAAACCCCTTAGTGCCATGTAACCCTCCATTTACTAACCCCCTCCCCGCAGGCACCCGTGCTCAGATCCGCGACTACGAGGACTGCAACGTCGGTGAGGTGCGCACCAACGCGCTGGTGACTCGTGGTGGAGAAAACAAGAACGAGACGGAGATCAACACCATTCTGAACCTGTTCCTGCACGCCCAGCAGCACTTTGGACAGAAGTTTGGCGACGAATTCAGGTGAGGGAGAAAGACAGAGTGGTAGGGTATGTCAGTAGGTCGGGTAAATACATGCCGGTGTTCGGGAATTGTTTGTAATTATGTTTGGGTGCTTTAGCGTGGTCTGGGTGCCTCTCAACTGCATATTGAGGCAGCGTGCTGGTTTGTAGGATCAGTGACCTTGGTGCCAAACTCGCTGACCGGATATGATTTTTGTTTTATTGTTTACAGTTTTTGATAGCTGAGACTCTCAATTGCAATTTGCAGTGCAAATTTGTATAATTGCATTGGCTGCCTTTTTTGCGTGTTCCGTATTTTCTTTCATATACGAACCGAGGTGTTTAATTTCCGAGCATGCCTCACGGTCTGACGCCCCTGAGTCAGCTGCTGACCGGACGCTCTCTCTGTGTGCCCAGTTTCAAGATGTTCCACTCTCCGGAGCCCACGGCCGACCTCATCTTCTCGGACGCCGCCCAGCAGCTGCGGCCCGTGCCGGAGGAGGAGCGCAGCCACACAGCGTACCTCGGTCAGTAACAGTAACTCCGCGCCGTGGTCTATAGCGTGGCTGTAGCGACTAGCGTGGAGCGCAGCCACACAGAGTACCTCGGTCAGTAGCTCCGCTCCCTGATATATAGCGTGGCTGTAGCGTGGTGAGTGCAGCCACACAGAGTACCTCGGTCAGTAGCTGCGCGCCGTGGTGTATAGCGTGGCTGTAGCTTGGTGAGTGCAGTCACACAGAGTACCTCGGTCAGTAATTACTGCGCGCCGTGGCGCCGTGGTGTATAGCGTGGCTGTAGCGTGGAGCGCAGCCGCACAGAGTACCTCGGTCAGTTACTACGCGCCGTGATATATAGCGTGGCTGTGACTGTGACAAACACTGTGAAGGATATGTTGTGTGTACTGCATGACACACTGTGTAGGGTTTGTCGCGCCTACAGCCTTTAACTACACACCGAGTGTATGGGATATGATGTTAGGACGTGAAGCTTATGTCCTACGCTGCAGGATGTTTTATCACCATGCACAGCTAGATGAAATGTTCTTTAAAGTTCTTCTCCCGCTCGGCTGCTGCATCCACTTTCAATAAATTATGATTTCGTGAGGCCCAGCCAGTCGATGTTTTATTTACATAGTCGTGCCCCTGTGGCAGTCATGCCACTCGTGCTATTATGTGCCGATATTGCCCTGTTTGCTGTCAATGCTGTATGAAAGGACACATCCCTCGCTGACCTCGCCCCTTCCCCGCCCACACTCCGCAGGTAACGGGTTCCTGGAGGCGCGCGCGCTGGTCGACTGTAAGGCCGCGGCGCCGGCGCTCATTGTCTCACTGCCAGCCCTGGCCGCGCTGGCCGTCTTCGCTCTCCTGGTCTGAGTCATCACCGAGCCTGCCAGGCAGGGTATGACGTCATTAGCCGTGTGTGTATCTGACGGGTGACGTCAGTGAGGCTCAGCGCGCGGTATGTGTGTCGCGTCATCAATATTGCCTTTGTAACGAGTGATGCCGTCCTACGTCCGTCCAGTTGGGTCAGGGCGGCGAGAAATGGGCGCCAGACTTTGTCCACGCTTCTGAGCCGTGGCTCCGCGCTGCCAATGGTCGAGATCCAACGAATCTCAGCGCGGTCGTGATGCGGGGTCCTGTCGCACAAGGGCCGCCGCCGCTCAGAGCTGTGTGGTCGGTCCCTCGGCAGCTCCAGCTGAGGACGTCGAATCTCAGCGTGATACGAGAGTCCGTTCGCCAAGCGCTTCAGCTTGTTTGTTAGTTTGATTTGTGTAGCTCAGTTTACCTAAAATGAATCTCGTATGCGTTGTGTTGCGATCCGTCCCGAGTTGCACGTTGTGTTCATGCACGTAGTTAAGTCACGCATTATACGGTTGTGTACTGCTTTTATAGATTTGCGGAACGTATACATTCCTTTTGTTATTCCATTCGGATAGAAACGTATGTACGTACGTATCGAAAGTTTTTACATGCAAGTTTTCTTCTTGTGCATTCCATAGTTGCTTTTACTCTATACATTAGTTTTCGTTCCATCGTTATATTAAGTAGCGCATGTTTTCATCCATTTGTGGATCCTGCTGATAATCATGAAGATGCTGAGATTGATCGAATTCGTACCGCATGCCAATACTACATGTATCCGTATTCCCTAAGAGGAGTCTATCGCGATGTTATATACACTTTGTACCGTTTCATTGGTGTTTGTTTCGAGTTCTGTTTGGGTGCAGCCGGGTTGAGCGGTCTCCTATCTGAGGATATTGGGTAAGTACTCGGGCATCGAAACTATCACGCATCTACGTCGTGCATAGGCCCAGTGAGAACCTGGGATCCTGCGATATTTCCCATTGCGCAGCTAATCGTGGGCAGCTTCTCTGGATGCAAATTTTTAGCTAGCCAACGCGAGAGACCCTAAATGGCCCGCTTCTGACGCGCTCCGGGTGAAGTTCGGACGCTGAAGAGTAATGTCACAATGTCGAAGCAGTGTTTTTATATACCTTGGTCGAAGCGTGACGCATCACTGCAGCATAGGCCCGGGTACTTATCTTTGAACACGGTACTTTGAACTTCTAGGGAAACGCCGGTCGCCGGGTGGGCCTGGTGCTGTGCTGTGCTCTGGGACACGTTAGCCAGGGTTGCGAGTACTGGTTGATGACGTGTGTTGGATTGGAACTTGGAAGACAGGATTATAACTCAACTCATTGACCCCTTTTGGCTTGGCAATTCGTTGTAGCATTTACAGAAGGGCGAAGTAAGAATTTATCTCGCTCAAAAGCCGATTGAAAATACTTTAACAAAAAGTCGTATTGCGCCTCCATTCCTTCCAAACAAAATGAAATTATGAGTCAAAATATCAGCGTTGTATTGGTCAACTGTGATTGGTAGTTAAGGAGTTCAGAGCAACTACTAAAAATGCAAATAAGATAAATAAAAGGCCAGCTTGAACTTAGCTAGCCAGACACTGGCCAAGACAATTTCTCCGCTACATGATACAAGAAGATCAAGCAAAAATACACATTCGTGGTATGCCTTATCATCACAGATACATGTTGTTCATGGGCTATATAGCGTTACATCACAACTCGGGTGCACGTTGCTAACAACTGCCACAAGGCGACCGTCAGCTGTCGCGACTTTCTGTCACATGGCTATGTAATACACACAGGCGGTGTCCGTTGCGTTACTGGACCGCCAGTTCACCGATTTGAGGCGTCAGCCGCCCCGGACAGCAGCTATTTGTACTCTGAAGCAGCGACGGTCGACGGCGGGGAGACGTTATGCAGCCGGTACCGAGTCGAGTCGCAAGTTTGTTTCAAGTAGAGGCAGCATTCTCACGGGCTACTGATGCCTCTCACGCGCTCACAACGTCCCCGAGGGGTCGATTGTGTCCATCGGGAGCTGTGAGCACGCCTCACGGACTGAGGGCGCCCTTTAGTAACTGGTGTAGCGCCATCGTGTCGATTGTGGGCGCCCCTGCGGAGATGGCTGCGCCACCTCAGAGGAAGATAGCGCACCCTCAGTGACTGATGGCGCAACTCAGTGGCTGATGGTGTCCCCCAGGAGCTCATAGCGTCCCTCAGGAGCTCATAGCGTCCTTCACGAGCTGCTCAGGAGCTCAGGAGTCTCAGGAGCTGGCGGCGCCCTGCAGGGCCGTCTCTGGGCTGGCCGGGGAGCGGCGCTGCTGCCGTTTCACCATGTCCACCAGCGACTCGAGGCGCAGCGGCTCGGAGCTCTGCAGCACCAAGTTGGCCTCGTCCAGAATCTGGATGGCGTGTTGCGCGTCACCAGCCGACAGATGGTGCTCACCAGTCACGTGCGAGCACCAGTCGTCGTGCGTGGGCAGCACCTGCCAGCACCACTTGCACTTGAGCGTCGGGCCCGAGGTGTGGAAGGCCTTGATGTGGCGCCGCCGGAAACCCCACGAGGTGTAAGACTTCTCGCAGAACGGGCACGGGAACGGGTACGCAGTGTGTGCTGGAAACGAACACGGACAGGGTAAGAGACGGGCGGAGGCACGGTCAAACAGTTATCGCGGCAGGCTCTAAAGCCGTTCGGTTCAGACTCATCCACCCTGGTAAATGTCAATGCAGACGATACACAGTCAATGAAAGTCATATGACGTGAAACAGCTACGGTTACAGTAGAAATATGCTAAATAAGTGAATGAAACTGCATACGGCATCATAACAGAGAATGTAGAAAATAACTGCGGATACCGAGGACAATGTGCCTTTACACTTGACGGCTACATTCATACGCAACTCATGATCGATGACTTCTGATCCCTACCCTTGTATCACCCTTTCGCATTTACTATAACCGCTCATCACAACCCATACTTTCCATCAACGCGACGTGTCGCTACATCGATCGAGTACTCACTGACGACATAGTCAGGATCTGAGGAGCAGGAGGGCGAGGAAGTCGGTGGACCGCCGCTGGCCGCACTCCTGCCCCGCTCCTGGGAAGCCGACGGTCCTCTGCCGCCCTCCTGGGACGTCGCTGGTTGGTGTCGGCTGCCGCGATCGGCTGGCTCGGACGGCGACGCTGTCGGACAGACGAGTAGCGGTCAGCCGAAATGCGGCCAAGGAAGGGTCAGATGGGAGAACGGCTGACCCGAAATGCTTCTCCGTCTCCCACGTGCAAACTGGGGTGGTATGGAGTGGATCCCTCGTGGTTTGCCAGCTACCTGGGCGGACGTAGCCAGGTGGTCCGGGGTGGTAGCGCCACCCCGGTTGCAGTCTCCCACGGCGTGCCACAGGGATCCATAATCGGGCCGATCCTGTTCAGTCTTTTCTGCAACGACCTACCGTCTCACCTTGACGTCGAACCCGTCATCTACGCCGACGACATTCACTTGTTGGACCGGGCTAAGCCTGAACCTCAAAATGTAATCGCTCTCAAAGCACGGCTTGAAAACACTCTTTCGATCATGCAAAATTGGTACCGTTCAAACTCACTCAAAATGAACCCTCAAAAAACCGAATTTATCATGATTGGCTCTCGTCAAAACATTCAGAAAACGGAGGACTTCAACATAGTCATTGACGACGTCTCAGTGACACCCTCTGGCTCCCTCCGCATGCTGGGAGTCGTCCTCGACCCAGTCCTGTCTTGGGAGAAACATGTTGGTCACGTTGTTCAGAAATGTAACTGTCTTCTCATCTCCCTCTATCGTTTTCGGCACCACTTCCCCCAAGACGTACTACAAAAACTTATCAACATTCACGTCTTTCCATACATCACCTACTGTCTTTCGGTTTGGGGTGGAGCCAGCAAAAATCAACTTTTCAGGATCCAAAAAAAACTATCAACTTCGCTGCGCGGGTGGTAACGGGGGCACGGCGGACGGACAGGATTGGCCCGACGCTCCGGGTTCTGGGATGGGAGCGGGTGGAGCGGTTGGTCGAGATGAAGGATGCCATCAAACTTCACAAGCTCCTGACCCAGGAGCTCGGACCACCAGCAGTCAGATCTATGTTCGTGGCCCGATCGGCTGTCTCCCACCGCTCTACCCGTTCCACCGAGGCGGGCCGCCTTGAGCTGCCGCGGTGCCGGCTGGTCGGCACCCAGCGCGGATTTCGATATCGTGCCGCGGCAACGTGGAACATGTTGTCACCAACTGTCACCAACATCAGATCTGCCCGAGAGTTCAAACGCGCTATTCAATAGAAAGTACCATAGAACTGTCGCTACTATTCGTCACTCAGTGCATTCATTTTGTGTTTAATTTTCATGCAACACAATGTGCGAAGTCTTCGCTTTTAGCCTCACATTTTAAACCTTCACCTTTTTATGTATTTTATGAATATGGCGAGTGTCTGCTCTAATGTCACGTTTTATTCTGTCGTTTTATGAGTGTGCTATCTTGTATTGACGCAAATCCCGAAAAGCCATCATGTGGACGGATTTTAGATGAATACATACATACATACATACGTCAATACTGAATAAGAATAGATCAGTCAGACCCAGGGCTGATTCTACTGTGGTGTGAAGTGCAGGGGTGGATATTTGTGCCGAGTTGGGGTAGCACGAGCTTTCCCAATTCCACGCCGGCTTGGCTTTGGAGCCGCAACAGACGGCGGAGGTCAAGGTCACCGCTAGGGCGGCGGCGGATTTGCTGCGTCCGTGCTACCCCAACTCGGCACATTCATCCACCCCTGGTGAAGTGTAGCATTACGGTAGGAGTGTACACAAATAACAGCTCAGAAATTCCCCGCTGTAGCTCTCCCGGCGACTTTCCACCACCACTCACCAGTCGGGGCGGAGTCTGATCGGGTGGCGCGGGTCGTCGATCGGCAGTGCTGGGAACTGCTCTCCGCTGCCGGCGACGCTTCCACCACCCGTGCCTCCTCCTCCTCCTCGACTGCCTTACACTCGGGTGGACTGGACGGCTCCAGCTTCACCACAGGCTCGGTGACCAGCGGCGGTGATGCCGCGCGCGCCCGCTTGGCCGGCGGGTCGGCCGCGGAGTCGGTGCGTTTTCCAGATGGTCGACTGTCTGTGAGGGGCGGTGGAGGCGGCGCCGGTGCTGTCCCCGCCGCGGACTGAAAGTGACAACGGTCAACGACATCATATCAGATAGCAAAACAGATATTGGTATCAGTGTGTGCGACATGCGTATGCAAAATGTGCGGAGATATGCAATAAAATGAAAAGTGGCAGAAATGCAGTAGCAGCATATAATGCAATGCATATAACTCATAGAAAAAAAAAACTGGCTAATACTAAGAATAAAACACCAGTGCTAAGCTGGAATTTACCAGTTTACAATCACCACTGCCCACCCCAGTAACAATGCCACGCTCCCCAGCGCCTTACCGTGCTCTCCCGGCCGTCCGCTGCCGCCGCCGCCTGCTGCTGCATATCCTCAAACAGGCCCTTGATGTGCAGAGCCTGGGCAGCACGCAGAAACTCTGGCATCTGTTCGGGCGTCAGGTTCACCTGGCCCTCGTACATGAAGCGCAGCAGTCCTCGCACGTGCGCCGCCCGGACATCGTGCAGCACCACCACGGGGTGGCGACATGGCGCGCTCTGCGGGCGGGGGATGACGAGGAAGGTGACAGACGTGTCAGTAGGGCGGGGAGGGAGTGGGAGGGGCTGTTATGATACGGGCCCGCAACCCCCGTTATGAGAAGGGCCCGGCCTTGGCCCGCCGAGCGGCCGCCGGCCGGCGCCGGCGGAGAGCGGGCAGTGTCGAGCGAGCCGTCAAGGTGTGCGTGCCGTCCGAGCCGGCAATATATGTGCAGAGCGGTGCGTGTCGTGTCAGTGCGGACTGAGGATCCGGCGGGCGCAGAACAGAACATGGCGCGGTCGGTAGTGTGATCGGTAGCGTGCGACACCGATTCCGAGATATACTGAACTACGTGCAGCCGTGTCGGATCGCTCGCGTCAGTGATGGCGGACAACGCACAACTCGAGCGCCTGACGGCGCTGTTGGCCCAGCAGTCGGAGCAGGCAGCGCAGCGGGAGGAGCGGCTCGCCGAGCAGGCGGCGCAGCGGGAGGAACGACTCGCAACCATGCTGGAGCGGGCGCTGGCGAACCAGGTGCAACAGCCGATCGCACGGAGCGAGACGGCCGTCACCGAGAGCAGACAGCCCTCTGCTACGCCAGCAAAACTCCCGTCGAGCGCTATCTCGACGCCGCACCTGACCTCCTCCGCGTCCCTCAAGGAGTTCGGCACGTGGCGCCAGAAGTTCGACGACTTCAGGCTCCTCACTCACCTGGAGACGTTGCCTATCGCAGAGCAGAAGGCGGCCCTGATGTCACTGCTCGACGACGAGTGGACGCGAACGCTGCGATATAGCCTCCAGATCCCTTCGGAAGCCGACCTGAAGACCGTGATCGACACGATGGAGGCTCATCTGCGTGGTCAACGCAGCATCATCCTCGACAGACGAGACTTCTACTCGCGAGTGCAAGAACCGGATGAGACGTTCGACGATTTTGTATCGTCTATTAAGGAAATCGCCGCGTATTGTGACTTTTGCGATAAGTGTGCGGACGATCAGTACCGTGACAGGATCGTGGTCGGCATCCGTGACGAGGAGGCGCTGAAGCGTATGCTGCATGAGCCGAAGCTGACGCTGCAGAGGGCGGTGGACATTTGTCGTGCGTGTGAGTCGGCGAACGCGAACAGTGCCGCAATTCTCGGCGAGCCGGCTAACGTGACAGCATTGTCGGCGTACCGTCGGTCGCGTGCCCATCCATGCTCCAACAGTGCGCGTCGAGACGACCCCTGCCGACGCTGCGGTCGGGCTCGACACGCTGACGGCGTGCGCTGCCCCGCGATGGATGCAGCATGCCATGCATGCGGAGGCTCCGGTCACTTCGCAACGGTGTGCGCCAACCAGCCGCCCGACCGCGGTCCCCGGCGCGGCGGCCGTGGCTGGCAGGATGCCAGATCACGTGACCGCGCGGCCGGCGACCAGCCGCCCGGCCGTGGCCGGTCAAGGTTACGACGCGGGCGGGGCACGGGTCCTGGCGCGGCGCCGGCAAACGCGGACGCGGCCGGTGACCGACCCGAAGTACGACAAATTGTCGGAGATATCTACGTGGACCAACTGACTGCACGCCGCACGCCGCGGATCAGAGTGACACTCGTCCATTCGACGGGATCGTCGGCCGTGTTATGCATGCCTGATACCGGGGCGGAAGCTACGGTCATGGGCGCTGACATGGCTGCGTCCCTGGGTGTCGCAACGAAGATGACCGGGTCGGTAGGCGGCGAGATCAAGTTTTCGTCAGCCGGGAGCACGCCGCTGACCTGCATCGGCCAATTCAGCGCCGCGGTGACCTTTGGCGACTGCCAGACCGCCACAACGGTGTATGTGTTGCGAGAGGTCACCGGATTCCTGCTCGGCTGGTGTGACTCCGTGCGTCTGCGGATCCTGCCCGCCAATTTTCCGGCCCAGATCCCTGTCAACATCTGGCGCAGTCAGTCCGTTCCAGACCAAAGCCGCGGCAGCCACGTCCGCTCACAGTCGATCGGCGCGCGGCCTCTGCAGCGTCCCGACCGTCCGCCGGCGCCACCTGTCGACGAACACCTGGCGCCGCCTACTGGTCACCCGCTGCAACACGTGGCCGCGGCCCGGGCGGCGGGCGGCACGGGAACTTCGGCGGGTGGCACGGAAGCCCCGGCAGGCGACACGGGTGCCGCGGCGGGCGGCACGGGAGCCGCAGCGGGCGGCACTGGAACCACGGCGGGCGGCGCGGGAGCCGCAGGATCCAGCACGAAGCCGTCGTCTCAACAAACAGCGGCCAGTGCCCAGCCTGTGTGGGAGCACGAATACGACCCGTCAGACGATGTCATCAAAGGTCATGAGGCGGCCCTGAGACAACAATTCAAAGACGTGTTCGACGGCAATGAGACGCTCTGCGAGATGGCTGGTGGCCCGATGGTCATCGACCTGACAGACGACGCAGTCCCCACAGCTCTCACCGCTGCCAGAAACATCCCATACTGCTGGAGAGAGGAAATAAAGAGCCAGCTCGACGACTTGGTCGCCAGAGGGATCGTGGCCCCGGTGAACTACCCTACGGAGTGGTGTCACCCCATGGTGCCAATTGCGAAACGCCAGGGAGGAGCCAGACTGGTCGTGGATATGACCGCCATCAACAGGTTCGTGAAGAGACCTGCCTACCCCGTGAGACCGATCCACGACGCAGTGGCGTCTATCGACGGGGACGCGCGGTGGCTGACCACGCTGGATGCCGCCATGGGATACTTTCAGGTCCCGATCGCCGAGGAATCTCAAGACCTCACCTGTTTCATAACTCCATGGGGCCGGATGAAGTTCCTCAGGGCCCCGATGGGTCTCATCTCGTCAGGTGACGAATACAACAGGCGGGGCGACGCAGCACTCGGAGATATACCGCGAACGCTGAAAATCGTGGACGATCTGCTGCTGCACGACGCGACCTACAGCGCCCATCTCTCTCACGTGGTCGCGGTCCTCAGACGCTGCCGAGAGACAGGCATCACTATCAACCCGCGCAAATTCCAGTTTGCGCGGCCGTCGCTGGACTACTGCGGCTACCGCATCTCGGAACAGGGCTACACGGTTGACGACCGCAAGCTGCAAGCGATCTCTGAGTTCCCGCGGCCGGAGAACCTCACCGATCTCAGATCGTTCCTGGGACTCACCAATCAGTTGGCCGACTTCTCAGCAGACATCGCCAGTGCAGCTCAGCCCCTCAGAGACCTGCTCAAGCAGCACACCGTCTGGAGATGGACTGAGCAACATGAAGAGGCATTCAAGGACGTCAAGAGAGCGCTGGTGTCGCCACCCGTTCTGGCCTTCTTCGACCCGCAGCTGCCTACCAAGCTTCAAACGGACTCTGCACGAACCCGCGGTCTGGGTTTCGTTCTCCAGCAGCGCCACGGAGACACATGGAAGATGGTGCAGTGCGGCTCCCGCTTCCTTACAGATACAGAGTCAAGATACGCGGTGGTGGAGCTGGAGTGCCTGGCCTGCCTGTGGGCCCTCCGCAAGTGCCACATCTTTCTGGCAGGACTTCCACAGTTCGACCTCATCGTGGATCACCGCCCTCTCGTCCCGATCCTCAATTCCAAGAGGTTATCAGAGATCGACAACCCTCGCCTCCAGCGGATGCGGGAGAAAATGTCGATCTACAGCTTCACTGCTGTATGGCAAAAGGGGGCCTCACACTGCATCCCGGACGCCCTGTCACGCGCTCCAGTCTCCGATCCAGCAACGGGAGACGAGGTTGCGGAGGTGACGGAGGCACTGCACGACGCCGTGGTCGCTACTCTGAGCGCGACCTCCGAGGACGGTGTCCTAGTCGCTCCGCTCCAAGACCGGACTCTGGACTCGGTTCGGGCGGCAGCCGCCCGCGATCCCGAGTACCGAGCCCTCCGTGACGTCATCCTGGCAGGATTTCCCGACCACCGACACGACGTGGCACCAGCTCTGCGGCCCTACTGGGGTGTCCGTTCAATGCTGGCGGTCGACGACGGGCTCATCGTCTACGGAGCGAGGCTCGTGATTCCGGCCAGTCTACGCCGCAACGTTCTCGACCGGCTACATGATTCTCACCAAGGAATGGAGAAAACCAAACGCCGCGCACGGCTGTCCGTGTATTGGCCGGGGATTGACCGGGACATATGCAACACCGTCTCTGCATGCCAGAGCTGCAGGCAGCTCGCTGCCAGTCACAGCAATGAGCCCTTATGGATGGAAGACGATCTTCCCAGCCGCGTTTTCGAGTCGGTATCGGCAGATTATTTCTATGTCGCCGGCCGGACCTACCTCGTGTACGTGGACAGACTGTCAGGCTGGCCGTATGTAACGGTCTGCCCCAGGACGGCCTCGGCGGACCACCTGGTGAAGCAGCTGCGGCGGCTGTTCTCTCAGACGGGTGTTCCCACCGTACTGCGGACAGACGGCGGACCGCAGTTCGCCTCCTCCACGCTCCGGCGATTTCTGGACCGGTGGGGAGTCCGCCACGAGATGTCATCCCCACGGTACCCGAGATCCAACGGTCACGCCGAGGCTGCCGTTAAAACGGCGAAGAAAATAATCGTGGCTGCCTCGGCGAGCGGACGGCTGGACGACGATCAGCTCGACCGAGGTCTCCTCGAGCTGCGAAACACGCCTCGGGCCGACGGCAGGTCACCAGCCCAGACGCTGTTTGGTCATCCGCTGCGGTCAGGCGTGCCGACCCATCACCGAGCATACGCACCTGAATGGCAGCGCGCCGCCGACGCGTGCGACGCGAGGGCGGCCGACCTCCGAGACGACGTGCAGCGCCGTCACGACGCCACAGCGCGCCCCCTCTCTGGACTGCGCGTCGGCTGCCGCGTCGACGTGCAGAGCACCGAGAACGGCCGCTGGGACCGTACGGGTGTGATCGTCGGCGTGGGACAGCGCCGCACCTACCTCGTAAAGATGCCAAGCGGACGCATATATTGGAGAAACAGGCGTTTCCTGAGACCACACCGCCCGATGTTGGCCAGCGGCGCGGAGCCGCAGCCACCGGAGGTTCCCGGCGCGGCGCGGGCGCCGCCGACCCGGCGGGAGGCGCTGCAGCAACCGCCCGCCCGCCGAACGGCGGCGGCGCGAGCGGCGGAGCCCCGTCAAAGTGGTCGCCAGCGTCGTGAGCCGCAGCGACTGCAAGTCCGCTGGGACACCAACACATATGACTGATAGCGTGTGCACGCTACGAATGCCCCGACATGTGTTTTGTTATTGTAACTGCATTTCGTTGTATCGCGCGATAGTTCTCGTCTTCCTTGATGGATGCTTCGCTTAACGGAGATTACTTTTGTTTGAAGACATTCGTCTAACATATCAAGGTATGCTTTTGTTAGAGCGAAGGTCTTGGGGGGAGGTGTTATGATACGGGCCCGCAACCCCCGTTATGAGAAGGGCCCGGCCTTGGCCCGCCGAGCGGCCGCCGGCCGGCGCCGGCGGAGAGCGGGCAGTGTCGAGCGAGCCGTCAAGGTGTGCGTGCCGTCCGAGCCGGCAATATATGTGCAGAGCGGTGCGTGTCGTGTCAGTGCGGACTGAGGATCCGGCGGGCGCAGAACAGAACAGGGGCGAGACAGGACAACAGCAGTGGCCAGTGAGTAAGCCAAACTGAGATCACATGGGCGGACTTTTAGCAAACAGGTTAACTAAGTAAACTGTTATAGTTGCACAGGACGTTGTGTCCCATCCATCAGTACCTGCAGTTCGTGGATAGCTAAACAAAAGCTAACAACTGCCAGGCGTACAAGACAGAGTTGCCCAAGCGCAACAAAGAAGCAATCAGTGCTGCACGTCGCGCCCAGCGCTCACCTTGAGTATCTCCTTGAAGAAGGGGCTGCATGCAGAGAGGATGACACGGTGCGCCTTGATTAGCTGGCCTTCAGCCGCCAGTGTCACGTCCACAAAGTCCTCGTCGAGTCGCAGAGCGTGAAACGACGCCGCTAGGTTGGTGTGGAAGCTATTCCACCGCAGGCAGAACTGCTGGTCCCCACGGGAGGACGGCATGGCCTGAGGACGGAATGGGTCAACCTCACACCAAAATTTATGGAGACAATCCCACAGAATGTGAATCCTTACAAGCACGCGCAAAGTATGAAGGAAATCAGTCATTTTTAGGCCTGTAAGATGACCTCTGAGATTACAAAAAGATAGTACAATTAACCCCAGCCCCAGCACAAGAGCAAATGTGACATCAGACCCCATGATGTGTGGAACCATCCTTCAAGCTAATCCCTTACACTGTAGGAAGTGACTAGAAAGTAGGAGTCAATTTTGGATGGAATTGCCATAGGTATCTGTTATTGAGATGTAAGGGCCTGGGCATGTTCAATGTGAAACCCCAACATGAATGGGCTTATGCCTTATGGTGTATCAACCTTCTAACTTCCTCCTAATGCCAGTGCACAAATGCAAGTGCAATTCCCTACAACTCATGATGTTCTTCCATGTAAAATAACCTTTTAGAACTTGTTAATTTTATGACCCTTAAAATATGCTTTTCATCCAATAAGTTAGCTAATCCTGATAACCTATGCCTGGGTATTGAGCATGGAGCATAAGTTGTTTTTTTATTCTTCCCTATAGCTTAGTTGGTACAACACCAATACTCTTGGCCCTTGAGCCCTCTTTATTATACAGAGCTACCCTACCCCATGCTCAGTTTCCATGGAAACATGAGCAAAATTGCCAGTTTTGCTTAGAAACATTTCCATGAAAGCTGAGCACTAATGCCTGGTAGCATGAGGTAGCAGCGTGCCATGAGACAGGGTCTTGATAGTAAGAGGTTTGAGTCTCTTGGACATTCTGACTCAATATAGGGTATGAGTACCATTACTAACAGGATTTAGAAAGTTTGAGGTTGTTAGGAGCAGCTGCCAGTTGAGTGGGATGGACCATGTCCAAGCTCCAGCTCTGAGTGCATTTGATTTTAGCATCTTTAGTCTCCTAATTCCCTAAAACCAGCTGATCAAAGTCAAACACATCAACTTGAACTTGGGGCCCAGACTGGAAAACATCCATATGATACGCCAGATGCCCTTGAGACCTTCTTGCACCAAAATTGGGTGCAAATGATTTTACACTGAAATTTCTGCATGATTTGTGCCAAAAATTGGATGCCTTTTTATGCCAAAATCAACCCACTTTTGTAAAAAGCACAAGTGCACATGCCACATCTTCCAATCAGGACTACATCAACCACACAGTATTTTATTGCCTTGAACCAGCGCTTTCCAGGGTCTTGGTCACTCTCCCATGTTTGAACGTCCGAATGAGTTTTTTTTATAATTTCCACAGCAACCCATTACCTACCGCAATTTGCGTAATGTAACCTGTAGGATCTGCCTACGTTTTTCTATCCACTTTAAAATTGGAGCAATATATATTTTGAAAAAATGTTGTGGAGAAAACTTCCCTAAAAGTAAACAATAGTTCTGCAATATATGCTGACAGTCGCTGAGAACTTAATCAATCTAAAAAAGGAATAATAAAGAGTCATATCCTCCTTACACTATGACTATAACAAAAAATGATCCTCAAATAAACCATTCAAACAGCAATAAAAATATTTCAGAATTTTCTTACCACTTCGAGACGTTCCGCACCTGGATTCTGGAATATTTATAGGTCTGCTAGTGATATAATCAACAATATTCAGCGTATTCAGCTACAAAACCTTGTACAAAACTAACAAACGCCCCAGTTGTCCCGAAATTGAAGTACGTCTATTGCGCATCGGTTATGTAGCAAACTACGGCTACCAAATTAGGGGAATCCCTTAGATATAGAAGGCTGAAGGGGAGAGGAATCTTGCTGAAGGGCATCTACTCCTCAACAGTTCCGGAGTGTAACTAGTAAAGTAATCTTGCGCCGCTCGCTCTGTCGGCGGAGGGCCAGGACTGTCGGGACTCGGGACTCGGGACTCGGGTCTGCACATTGCCGAATGTGGTGTAGCTAATATTGCAGAAATAATGTTAACGCTTATATCTATGCGGTTTATGCAAAAGTGCACTTTCATTGGGTTTTGTGATTTGTCCTCCATTTACGAAACTTCGTCTAAGCCGCCTAGTTGGACATCTGAACAAGAACGAAGTAGAAGTGAGCGTACCACCATGCTTTCCCCATGGCATGGCAGTTCAGTTCGAGGAAAGCCTTGAAGCCATTACAAAATCGAGGACTTCGCTGTCTGCTTACTTGTCATGAGGACTGAGGTATACTATGTAACAATGCAAAGGCTTTCCTAAACACGATCAACGATGCTCCAGGTGAGAAACGATAGACGTGTAATCTGCGTCCTGCGCCTACCCCAAAAAGTATAATAACATTATTACGATTTACGAGTCGCATTCAGAGTCAACGTGGACTGGATCGTGGATACCGAAGGCATTCACACAATTCTTCCGCGACAAGACCCATCACAGAACTGACATTTGTATAATTTTGTATTGGAGCTGTGATCATCACGTGATACAATCGTTTGTCACCAGCACTGAGAGAATAAACATTACGAATAAAACGTCGGTCTTAACAAACCGGACAAAGCGAACTCTCCATTCTGCAATTAAGCCAGTTCACTGAAAAGTTAACCCACAAAATAGCACAAGTCATCAAGTACATGGAATGGGATGGACCAAGCACCGATGTGATAAGATATTTTTGGTGGCATCGCGTCGCATCATTTCCGTGGTACAACCACGAGCCGTTTTATCATTTTCTGTATTTTTATGGATTTTCTATTTTTTGGTGGATTCTCGGTGTCTACGAGAGAACTTTGTAATCTAACTTGATGACAGCACAACCGACAGAGCGATGTGGGCAGCGCCGCCGACGCCGTCCGCCGGTCGCCGGCGGGGGCGCGGCGCGGACCGGTGGGGACCAGCCGCGCCGCGTCCCTGCAGCGGCCGGTGGGCGGCGCCGCTGCCACCGGCGCCGCCCACCCCGCTCCGCCCGTTGGCGCACCGAGGGGAACCCGACACTGGTACACTGCACAGTCCTCCTAGAGCACAAATCGGCCTGACGATCGCCGTCTGCCGCCGCTGGAGCCCCTGAGGGGCGCCGCGCGCCGCCACCACCGCCGTCACCGGCCGCCGCGCGCGCGTCCGCCGGCCCCGCCTCGGAGCAGTCTCGTCATTCGAGCCGTCGGGCGCGCGCAGCGGCGGTCGGCGCGTCAGCGGCGGCGGCGCGCGCTGTCCCCCGCCGTCAGCGCCGCGCGCTACTCGATGGCGTAGGCCAGGTACAGATGGTCCTGGTCGCCGCGAGCGGGAATGATGTCACTTCCCGGCGCGATCGGCGCGAACCCGAGGAACATGAAGGTGCGCACCAGACTGGCGCGGTCCTCCCTGTTCTTCCTCAGGCTGATGACGACGTGAGTGGCCTGCAGCGTCTCTTCGGCGAACTCCAAGAGAGAGACGAATCTGCGGACAATGGAGAGAGACAACAGTCAGGCAATGGCAGGGAAGTTGTCAGTCGTCGGCAGGGAGGGGTATATACGAGTACGGCAATGACGGATATGGCTGTATGGATCTTGGATATGGTGATGAGCTGAGCGTAATACTCCAAGTGCGCAGCAGTCTTTCACGAAGTCGACCCATAAATAAACGCCAAGGATCAGACATTAATGATGAAATGGAACAGTAGGCTAGCTTCTCTAATGAACTATGGCGTGTCTGAAAATCCTGATCGGTAAGATAAAAAAAAAAACGAATCAATACTAAGATCAGGAGCAGGTGGAAGCGGAGGACGATTCCAACAGGCAAAAAAAAAAAAAATGAAGAGTTCGGTCACCAACGCGATTATCTGATCCTTCAGAAAGAGGAACTGCATCAGCCGTCACCAACCTAATCAATAATCACGGGCATTGGCAACATCTTACGTAACCATGTCGTCACCACTAGAGGTGGCAAAAGATGAAAATTTTGGGAACCAGACTCGAACCAGACCCGGCTGGACATTTCTGGAACCAGTCGGACCCGGTCTTAGTTGGAATCGGAACCAGTTGGACCCGTTCCCCAAAAGTCAATTAATACAAACTACTTGTAGGTATCATTAGTCGCATCATGTAAAACAGCCTATTTCCCACTGGGAATACTCATGAGATACTGTGTGCAAAGAAACATTCACTTCATATTTTGCGGTAATGTGTAGTGTGCAAGATGTATATGTAGTTAATGGTAGGACCCGGTTGGACCCGTCAGAAAAGTTCCAGGAACCGGTCTGGACCCATATGGGTCCAGACTGGTTCTTTGGACCGGGTCCTCGGGTCCACATTTTGCCACCTCTAGTCACCACCCCTTTGTCAGTTCTCCATTTTCCCGCCAGGCAGCAGCACCATCGGTGAGCGCGCGGGGGTCGATATGGCCTCTGCCGGTCTGCCGGCCGCCCGGTGCAGGGGCGAGGGCACGCAATGAGCCCGCAGCGCAGTGGTCCCAGGTAACAGGGAACGCGGAGCTGGGCAGCCGGGCTGGGAGACTCACCGTTCCGTCACTCAGCGACTGCAGGTGGCTAAAAGAGTGGAAAATTTGCAATTATTGCTGTTTTGTTGAAAAATGGATATCAAACCTTACATTGACCTTCAAACTAAGCGCCTCCGCGGTCGATTTCGGACGTCAACTGCTTGGACGCAACCATACAATTTCAGAAGAACAACTGACGTCAGGCAATCGATGAGCAATCAGCTGACTGCGGTCGGAGCAGCGAACTAGCCCCGAACTAAAAATACCCGACAAAGAAAATAGCTGTAATCATCGGTAGCTGGGCCCGCGAGGAACGTCAGCTTTTACCTCCCCCGACCACTACTACTCAGACCCCAAAACACGCGCCACGTTATCTACTAGCTCGGTCAGTGGCACTCGAGGCCGCGCCCCGGTTCTGATTCAGCGAACTGGCTGGCCCGCCGCCAGCGCTGCCAGCCATCAGCTGAGCTCGCGTACGTTCCAAGTCATCACAGCAGAGGCACGCTGGCCTATTCCAGTGCTGTTTTTCCTGGAGAGTGACGACTATTGCGCAGTCGGCAAGGGCTGTCCTTGGTCCGTTCAGAAGGGCCACTGGCCTGTAACTGATGACCAACCGACTGTCCCCTTCGGAGGGAAGGGGGAGGGGTTGCAGGGTCCTGCATCATCTCGGGAGAAAAGTACTCACGTCTTCACGAAAAAAAGGAAGTTCTGCCCGCGGTTTGCCAAGTGCTCAAACAATGAGAGTGGCACGATAATAATGATATTAAAGATGTCAATCGGATACCAACTTTTTGGTATACCGATACCAACCCATACCAACTTGGTATTTGGTATTTCAATCCTAATGTGTTTGGTATTTTGTTGGTATCATGAACCCTTTTGGTTAGTATTTGGTTTGGTATCGGTATTCCGATTTTCCGTATTTGACATCACTAAATGATATAGTCTCAACTCTCATTGATACAGGCATGAGAATCGAATTACTTTTGAGTTTTTTTTTTACAATTTTCCCATCTGTCACATTTAGATAAATTGCGCCAGATGCGATAAATACGTTCAGTGATCTGCGTTGTAAGAATGCCCTCCTTGCTCAAACCAACGCTTGAATGCACACAGTAACACATCTGGGCGACAGCGGTCGCCAATGCATTTTGCATAGCCCAATTTGGCAGATGATACATTTGCATCTTACAAATGCACAATGAGGCTACAATGAGCTATGAGTCTGCGTCTGCGAGTTACGCAAAATACAGCGTTTTAGCCAGGCCGCCGGTAAGGAAGGAGAGCCCCATGGGTCACGAGAGAGGGTCACGACTATTTGAGACGAGAAAATTACTCGCATTGCACAAAGCGAATACATATTATTGCTATCCAATGCTGTTTCTGACCGTGCAACGGATGCCAGCTGTCTATTTGAAGTTGTTTTCTGCGTCGTAATGAGCTCCACAGTCCACAGTCCACATAACCGCAAGCATCTCCGTCGCAATTAAGGTTCAAGGGTCAGGAATACTATTCAATCCACAAACAAACGCAAGAAAGGTCTCGAAAGATCGCAACACAAATGTGTTGCTCATTTGCTCGGCACGCCGCCTGCCACTGTCTGGGCCGTGTCGAAAGTCGAAACGATGGCCCCAGCAGGACAGCGATAACGTCGGGGTCGTACGCGAACACGCGAGGGGAGGGGCGCACGCGGCGGGCCGGTGGGGGGGGGGGGGGGTACTGCGCACTACGCGGCTGACCTAGGACCGGCCCGGGCTGCCAGACACAGGCAGCAGCCGCCCGGCCGCCTATTTCGGCACCGGCTCAAATACCGTACTTGGCTCAGGGGCTGCCACCGCCCGAGTTGCCAACGTCGCAGCGTGACCCGATGACCTCAGGCGGAGGGCTGGATGACTGAGACAAAACCATCGCGCTGTTGCCGACCGAAAGACAGCGACCCCAGTAAACTTCAACCGTCAAAACCGCTTCTGGGCGAGTAGCAAGCTCGAACCGTAAAATGACTCAGTGAAGCGAAGCTGCAAGGGCGGCGCCTGAGGAGTGTGTACCCTGCACCTGTGATACCGCAGTGACACCTGTCAGGCTCTCGTATTTTCAACGCAGCATTCTCCCCAAGCAGCGACGTCCCCATTGTTCGATACTCAGCCTCAAAAACCAAACCAGAAGTTGCGCTGTTCTGATTGCATCATATTGCCACAACCAACGCCGCACGTTGCGCCGCGTCACCACGCCGAGAGCACGCCGCTGACCCGTGGTCGACCTCTGTCCCTCTGTCGTTCTGAGCACATCCCCCAGCCCCCTCACGTGACCCGAGCGGCCGTCTCTGGTGTCCGCTGCCGGCCCGTGTTTATAGTTTATACCGAAACCAGCAGGCGGAGCGGCGTGCCCCGGGGAGGGGGGAGAGACTGCGACCAGACGACCCCAGCGGCGCTGGAGACGAGGAAACTGCACGTCTGACGGCAGGGAGGAACGCCCTCGACACAGCTGACGGATGTAGCCAGTGCAGTCGGGATGAGGGACGAGCGGAATTAGCCAACATCCGCCATAGTCGCAATGCAGACAGAAAAGGACGCAGGACGCCAACTGCTGGAGGGCGAACAAGGACGCACCGTCCTCAGGAAGGGCGACTGGCCACTGCAATCACCCTCCGTGATCTATTTTATAAATAAAGCCTCTACGATGTCCCAGTTGTGGACCAAGGCCAACATCTGAGGTGGCATCATTCCAGAGTCGGCCGGTGGATGACAGACTGTCCATGGAAGAGGTCGAGGAAGATAAACTTCCGCATCAAGGACAGGCGTTCTGGATTTTTATGTTCTCACTAGTGAATGAAGTAGGTAAGAGAAGAGCACAGATCAAAAACAAATGATAAATATTGTTTTACAAAACGCTTACAAGCAAGTAACACAGCTATGGAAACTACTTTACACGGTTAGACGATAACATACTCATCGATAAATCACTTGCAGACCGCACACCAAAATAATAAAGTAATTCCGTGGCCTGGAATCGATCCCGGCACTCACCCCTCCTTGGAGCCCTCGGGCAGGAGTCCGTCGGGCACCTGCACGTAGAGTCGCTGCCGCCAGAGCACAGTCTGCCAGCGCACGTCCAGCGTCGGCGTCAGCGTCAGGGTGACGCTCAGACGCACCGGCTGCTCCTCGTCGATGTTTGCCAATTCATTCTCCTGAGGACGATAGAGGGATGGGTGGAGAAGGGTGGTCAGAGGTTGCTGGCTTTTTGGGGAGGTGGAAGAGGGGAATAGCAGGAGACACGCATATCGGACCTCAAGAGCACAAACCACAGGTAAAGCAGAAAAGTTTAGCACACAATGTTCGTCCCTTACGAACGTAAGGTGGCGTTTTATGTCCTTGTCAACGCACTCAGCAGTACGTAACTACATAGCCTACCGTGCAATAACCTGACAGCTGGGGATAGGTAGAATAGAGAGCTTATCAGACCCTGTTCTGGTGTTCAGAAAAATACCAGCTGAAGCGAATGAGTCTGGGAAAGACTAAACGAGAGAAATGGTTCAAAGACAAGGCTACTGCTCCTCAACGATGAAAATGTAAACATGCACGAGATCCATCCGAGAAACATCAGTTTATCGGAGTGGTAAAGGTTTCGTCTTTGCGATGTATCACATGCTAGCCAAGGACAACAGTAGACGCCATATTTACGTTCAGCTATGCGTCGCAATAAGCTCCTGCAGAAAAATAAGCTCCTCCCAGCATAGGTATTATGTAACGGCATGGCAGAGTTGTTCGGCCTGGCTTAGCCTGGCCTCTTGCAATGTCAATTAGATTCCGCACATACCGTCCAGGCAATCTCAGCTGGTGGCGGCAATCTCAGTCACCAGCACCATATACATTATTTAACGTTGGAAAACTTACATGAGAATGGCACTTCCAAAAATAACCTCAGCAACCAATGACATTTGTTTGTTTGTTTGTTTGTTTGTTTTGTTGGGTTAGGCCCTTTCGGTCGACAAGACCATTGCAGAGCCGGAAGGATGATAGGATTTAGGGGGTGACATTGGTCTGGGCAGGCACCCTAGTGAGTCGCCGGGGCTGAGCCCGTCCAGAGGACAGGCCACCCAGCCCCAAGGCACTCACTGCACCCGGCTTCGGGGTGCGCTCCCTCAGGAGCAGCGGTGCCGCTCCAAGGGAGCAGCCCGCATGAGATAAAGTTGCCTGTCCAGCCCGGAGGGGGATTGCGGCGTGGAGGAGAAGGATTTCAGTATCCTGAGGATAGAAGCATGGAAAGGTGATGTGACATTTAACGTTACCAAAAGGAATTTTGAAACAACTCAGTCAAGACTCGCAGCAATGCGATCTGGAGACGGGTAGCACGATCCATTGATGGACGAGCCTTCGCTTATTGACAATAGCGGTCAGTCAAATGTTGGAGGAATAACAAATATTCAAAACCATGCAAACGTACTTCGCGAACGCCCTCCTATCTTTGATCAGCGAGCGACGATTTGCCAACAAGCTTGAACAACTTTTGAACACGGAAGACAAACATGACAATGATAGCGGTTACCAGGTTCTGATACCGCTATCAGGGCTATCAGTATGTGGAGCGTACTCTTTCGTTCGATATACCAAGCGGAATGTCGACTCGGCTCAGTTGAAGGGACAGAAGCATAACAACGCTAACAGGACGCATGTTGCTGCCAATAAGACGACGGCGGTACATATGCAATATGTATGCTCTAGGAGTCGAACATCACAGTATGCTGAAACACATGCATATCCCCCCCCCCAAAAAAAAAAAACGCGAAAAAGGCTGACAGAATACATAAGAGCCAGCACCTACCTATGGTAAAAAAGGGGAACAAATAAACATGAGTCTTATAATAGCTTATAGCAAGCATCAAGGCAGGAGACTAAGTGAAAAGAGACTGAACCCTTAGAATATCAAATGAAACATTCCCTTAGAACCACAAGCCGATACACCTTGCAGGCTCATCTCCCATCACACGTGCTGCCCAAAGTTACGACCAACGTCTGGTCTTCCTTTCGCCTGGCGAACGAGAGCCGAATTTCCACCGGCCGTGAAAAATTCATCGTTTGATTAGGCGGGCCAGACCACAGCTGCACAGCAATGGATGTGGCTCGTTCCGTAGTCCATAACAAGTGGCCGGCGAGGTGGTAAAACTAGCGGTGCGGAATTCAGTTTGAACTGGACGGAGAGGAGCAAGAGGAATGAGAAAATGGAGCGGACAAGCGGTGTGAGGAGACTATCAGGACCTGACCGGACGGGACCACACAGGACCAAACCGGATAGGACAGGACCGGGCAGAGAAAGAAAGAGTGTGAGAAAGAAATAGACATATGGCGAGCCGCGAGAGAGAGAGAGAGAGAGAGAGAGAGAGAGAGAGAGAGAGAGAGAGAGAGAGAGAGAGCGAGAGCGAGAGAGCGAGAGAGCGAGAGAGCGAGAGAGCGAGAGAGCGAGAGAGCGAGAGAGCGAGAGAGAGAGAGCGAGAGAGCGAGAGAGAGAGAGAGAGAGAGAGAGAGAGAGAGAGAGAGAGAGAGAGAGAGAGAGAGAGAGAGAGAGAGAGAGAGAGAGAGAGAGAGAGAGAGAGAGAGAGAGAGAGAGAGAGAGAGAGAGAGAGAGAGGCTCGGAGGGACGAAGGAGATGAGACGGCCAGCTGACCCGCTACCGACGCTCAGAGCCCCGGATCGATAGACGGAGGACGACATTTTCCCGTATCACCATAGCAACCCAACGAAACAATCGGCCACCTAGGCAACTGAAGGCCGGCAAAGACGTTCAACTGGGATGCCGCGATACAGCAGAAAACGATGCCAGTCCTCGTAATCTGGTTGAGTGCCAACTACCGATGTAATAGATTTAGGTATAGATTTGAGATGCCTCAGTCCGTTAGAGCATAGTCCTGGGGAACCTTTTCTGGCAAGAACTCAGCATTCTTTTCGGAACGGAGAACTGATACACCCCCTCGACACTTACTAGTTGATTTGGCAGAAAGGGCTCTGTAGATTTCCCCACGCCGCTGCCCTCTTCGTTACAAAACGTAGTTCTGGCGGCATGGGGGGCATCAAACCCAGTGCTGCCGGCCTGCCCCCACGTGAACGCTGTATTGGGGCATGCTCATGCTGAAACAGACAGACGGGGGGGGGGGGGGAGAGTGGTTAGTGACGGCGGCCACTTCAGTCTCCGGTGAATGCAGGCTCCCGTTGCAGCGTGACGCTGGTTTACTGCATCATGTGGCACCACCAGACACCCTATACCGGGGCCGGCGTTCGAGGAGCCGCATACCGCAGCGCCGAGCTGGCGTCGGCCACAACATACGACCAGCACGGCAGAGTCAGTATATTACAACACACACACACAACACAACACAGCTCACACAACACAGCACTGAACCGCAGCGGTGCGCAATGCGCATTACACGGAGGTGAGAAGACATGGTAAGTATGTATAACTGGCACACCGCAGAGGTCACGTTTAACCATACTGGATCAAACGACGATATCGAAGGAACGAAACCAAAGGCTTTGAACCTGGCCGCCATAGGGTAGCCAATTGGCGGACGTACAGCTGAGTCCAGAAAAAGAGTCTGTAGCAAACATTATTATTGGTTTAAGATTAAGCGGGCGCCAGCGAAGCGGTTGGCTTGTTGGCCCGTGGTGTTGTGCAACAAGTTCTGTTAGTAGACATTTGATCTTAAGGCCACACATTCAACCGCTCAGATTACATTCATTCAGCAAAGTAATCCACCACTGAACCAACAAATATGAAAAAGAAATATTCAAAGATATATGTGACAAGGAATCACGGCCAAAGAAGCAAATTTAGCAGGTGCTTATCATGAACAGTCACTAGTCAGGCATAAAAAGGGTCTACCATCCTCAATGAAAACGACAGTGGAGCCACGAACCATTTCCTGCATCCCTTTCACAGCATCTATCGGCGGTGTATTCACCATCCACAATCCACATGCACCCCGCTCACCGGGTCATATCCCGACAAGTGTGACCGACAGCTCGGTCACTCGATCGATGCCCAATAGAGTGCTGCGTGACGTCATATCGATCACTCCCCCCCCCCGCCCCCACCCTACAGGGGAATGGTGATTAGTATACATGGTGGCACGGGGCAGCAGAGGATGGAACAAGGGCAGCGGGCACCCACACCACACTTGAGCTATCAGCGGTGTCGAGAGAAGGTAGAGGCGAATGCGAAGTCGCCCTTCACCGTCATGGCCACGATTCTCCAGAGCCGTTTTGGTTGCGGATTTCTGAAGGTTCTAATGATTACCCATACCAGGCTGACGAACTGACGGACTTTGTCACGAAGAGTTGTACGGACGCGTGTTTCACCTACTGTTCTTGGTCGGCTGTCTCACTCATCAGATTGTCTATCTGATGCTGTACCGGACAGCGGTCAGCTGGGTCGGAGCCAGGAGCCCTGCTCTGCAGGCTGAGATCGATCCTTGTCCTCTGGGATGGAGAGGAGAGGAGGGGCGGCCGGCAGATGATAGGGCGGGGATGCGGAGAGAGACAGAGAAAAAGGCCAGAAATAAGATCGAAGACCGGTAGAAGGAAATGAACAAGGAAGAGGAGAGAGAAAAGGGAGGGGGCAGACCCACCAGTGCTCATTTTGCTGCCTCCTCAATGAGAGAAAGTGGAAGGGAAATTGCCCGCGGAGGACCGGAGGGGCCGTGAATACGCCTCCGGCAGAGCGGCGTTGCGCCCTGCGGCGCAGAACAGTGCGAGCTCAGTGACCTGATGACCTTGACCGAGGTGAGCCGCGGGGTGCTGTGTCATGTGGCGCCCGGTTGGCAGCGCAGGGACGCTTGGCCGCCGGCCGACGGCGTCACAGTCCGCCAGATACACGGCAGCCGCAGGCAACCGTCAACAATCATGGCAGCCTCATCCCACACACCGGCGACAGGGCAGGAGCCAGATATCCACTGACCTTAGCTTCGTGCCATGTCAACTGAGTTATGAGTAGGTATTGCGGCCCGTAGGCACAATAGCGGTCAAAGGTCCTTCAAGCCAGATGCCAGATGTGGTGTCCGATGGATCCATGATCCAGCATTTCGTCCACGATCACAGTCACCTGCTTTAGACAACTGTCATTTTTAGGAGCGAAATTGAGAGGAGGAAGCAATGACCATCCATGAATTACAGTTGAACCCAATAGAGGGAGTGGTATACCTACGCATTATCAACCACACCCAGGGGCGACGGAAAAGCATGAACCGTAGTGCAATAAGTCAGTGGTTTTAACTATTCATACTAACCTGCTGTAGTTGTGTCTGCTTTTTCGTATGTTGCCATTCTCGTCGTAAAAGCATGAATTCGGTTGGACATCCATCTTGACCGCCTTTGAATTACTCTGCACAGATGTTACCGCATGTTAAGATAATTCGAACAAGCTTAAAAGAGTTGTTTTAGAATGGAAATGGACAAACTACCTACCGACACGGGTCATACTGACAAGGATCGAGACATTCCCAATTCCCATGTATTAGATATATGAAAGTAGGTACCCAAGAGTGTAACTAATATTGAATCTCTACCACTACAAGTCACTACATACAATATGAGGTGGTCTATATTTGAACCCCTCGGGAAACATGGAAATGTTCGCTAGTGCAAGAGTCTATGTACAATTTTTCATGAATAACTCTCGGACCGTGCGAAAAGCCAGAAACGGCAAAGCAAAGAATTAAAACAAACTAAACGCAACTTCATAGTACCGTAAACTGGGGTGGCTTTGAACTTCCGGGTGACTTTGAACGCCGTTCACTTCTTAGAGGGAATCACAAATATCTTAAAAATGTGAATTATAAATGCAGCCATGTATTTTTACAGATAAGAATGCACATTTTTGAAAATGTACATGACATATTGGAAGATATGTACCTTAGTACATAGGAGTAAAAAATCAAAAACTAAATCAATGTTTTTGGCTTTTTGAGATATACCCGTAAACTTCCATATGGCATGGACTAGTCATTATGGTCATGGAACGGAATGACATATTTTTGCCATCCTCGATGGTTGCCCTATATTGCCCCATCATAATTTTTTAGCTTGCTTGAGCATGGCAAATGCTGTGAAGGGATTTGTAAAAGCATGACATTTTTGGAACTTCGCTGGGGTGACTTTGAACGTGTTCAATGTAGCCCCGGTGACATGCATGCCTGACTTGTTGTTCAAAAGACTTGTTGATCAAAGTAACCCCACCAAAATACACTGCATACATTTTGCGCTACAAGATAGGGGTGTAACAGAGATCGACTAGCTGGTGTGCAAGCTAAGCCAGCCTGACATGGACAGGAAGGGCAGGCTCCACTTCAAGAGTGAGGAGCTCTCACCATACAAACTGATGCTGGGGTAAACTCATGACTGACGTGTTCTGACGCTAGCAGGTGTACCTAGTGTTAAGTGTTAGTATTAAGGTGTTAAGTCGGGTTTCAAGTGTTAACTGTGTCCAAGGATACTCTGTACTCAGGTGTTCTCAGGTGTTCTCAGGTGTATTTCATGCATGCAGACCTAGTCGAGTCAGTGCATGCATCACACTTGAGTTGAGTTGAATCGAGTGATTTCATATCCTGTGAGTGTTGCTCCACAGTGCCTATGCAAGTGTTAAGGTGAGCAAGTAAGGTGTTTGCCATGAAAGATGCTTCTTTTTACTCACTGTCTGTGTGCTAATTTCTGTGAATATGGTGTTTGATTCATCAGCAGAGACTGCTACAAGAAGTTGTGTTTTTTGCTTGACGAGCTCGCCTTGTTTTGACTACTACCCCCAGAAGGACTTTTGCAGGCATAAATTGTTTTTGGCCTCTTTTTTAAAAAGCATCAGGGTGTTCAAAGCCACCCCAACCGGCACGAGAAATTGCACACCTACTGAGATAAATGATGAAAAACACAGACTGTTCAAATTCACCCCATTGCATGGTGACTTTGAACACCAGACATTTTTTTAAAAAATAGGGAAATGGCCTTACCTAATTTTTTGTTGACACCGTGGATGGATAAGGCCAGACTCAGCCCACAAAATAGTCCATGTTTCACATTCCTATCTACAGTAGCTTTCAAGATATTCACCGATAAGTCTCAAAACTGTCCAAAGTCGCCCCGTTTTACGGTAACAACGAGCTGCAGCAAATTTTGGTGCTCCCGACAGGTGGAGCAGTGTTGAGGCAGGCCATAATACAAATGTGGAAGAAGCATTTACTACACGCATCCGTATTCGATGCATAGGTAGATAGCCACCCCATCCTTTAACATTAGTCTATGTAGATGTGCCCGCTGAGCAGGCACTTCCTATCCAACTCGTATCAGCTATCAGCTCCGTTACCGTCCAAGGCCCGCCGCCGTGGCCGCGTCGGGCGGCGTGGTCGGACCAGGGCAAGGGGCACCGCAATGGAAAATTCCCGAGCCCTCCGTCCATATGTCCGCTAACGTAAACAGGGAGCCAGTGCGTCGTCCAGCGCCGGCCACCCTCCCACCCGCCGGGGAAACGGTCACTGCCGACCAGGGCCACCAACCGTGACACGGACCAAGACGCACATTGCGGCCCACGCCGCGGGTAAAAGACTCAACGTCTGAGGGCAATAAATTGTGCCAATTTGAATACTACTTTGAAAAGACTGGTTACCATGGCACCATAAGCTAAGGATTCTGCACCGAACAACATTACGTTATGTGAACAAATGCGGTGAATTTGGATGGTGGGCGACAGTGCGGCTCACCACCCGCCGTCAGGGACCACCGGCCGGTCACCGTCCGCCGCCGGCAGCAGCGGCCCGGCGGCGGACCCACTCACTGGTGCGCTCCGGCTCAAACTGGCGCCGCCGGCGGCGGTGGCTGGCGGCGGCGGCGGCACACCCCTCCCCTCCCCGGCGCGGGCCACGGCTGGTCAGCTGATGAACCGGACGCGGGACGAACAAAGCTCGTCCACAGACACTGCGCTCCAGCGAGACTGGCTGACCCAGCGGCTAAACGTATAGCACGCAGTAACGCGTAGAAGCTATGAGGCCGTTCTTACCCTTAGTTCTTTCCAACAAACCGCAATGTTCTGTGCGTGCTGGGTCGGTTCCATACACCGTGGGCTGTGAAAGCAACTCTTGACCGAAGCGAAGCGGCGACTTTCATACCGCTAGCTAGGTTGCTTATTTTTCGACATCGCTCACCTCGCCTGACCAACTCATAAGGCCCATTGTTCTTATCATGAATCTGATGTTCAAGCAAAACTTTTAAACTAAGGTCCCAGCCACACAGTCCAACATTCTTATGCTTGGTACTATGTCGTCAACTCGAGGAGTCGAGATGTGAGATGTGCTAGCTGAAAGACCATCGATACTCCACACCGTGCAGAGGGAGCCAAAAACATGCAGGAGCATCACGATGCCAAACATCTTCAGGAATGGAGCCACGGACGCGTCAGCAACCAGCCTTCGCTTCGCTTCAGACACTCCTACAGAAAAAAAACCACATCGACAGAACAGACAAGATTACTTAAGAACAGACGCGCCAGTGTCTGCAGCTGGTATGACATTGCAGCCGAAATACATTTACTTCTGTTTATATGAACGGCAGTGTTATTCTGCTCTGCCTCTCAGCTTTATGCGATTCCACTCCCCAACTGGAGTTTACGGCTAAAGTCGCGGTGGTATGTTCCAGAGCCTAAAAACTCCGCATCTGGCCAAAAGGAAACTTCAGAATAGCACAAAAACACTCTGAATATGCACCGAAAGGCGAAAACTCATTATTGAAACAGTGCCCTTTTGAAACCCATCTTCATATTGAAATATAGGATACAGTGACCTCCAGTCTACAGGCATCGATCCCTTGGCCTCTTCTCGGGTTATTCCTTGGGTTGGGATTACCCGTTCCGACTTCCTAGCAAAGTTTGCATCAGATAAGTCTTCAATAAACGCCATGCGGCTATCAAATGATGAAAAAGGCAACAGAACGACCGTCCAACAGCACCCCTGTGATGGAGAGGGATGGTGGGCTATTGCTGGGGCATTTGGCAGCAGAAGCCAGACAATGAGTCCTTGCAGCCTCGTTGTATTGTGGTAGGTAATCAATAACAGGCTAGAAATTGTTAGAAATAGCCTGGCTGGAAAACAGGCAGTTAGAACATATTAAATGACTTGAACATGTTAAATGTTTGACTTCATTTTTCAGCCCTCATTCAACTTACCAATTGAGATTTACAGCCAGTGATAACCAATAAACCAATATAACCAATTGAGCTTAGAGCTTGCCAAGCAATCCTGCCTCAGCATGGGTTCTTGGGTTCACTCCTAAACTTAGCCATCACAACAATATGTGTAACAGTAACAGGCTTCTGGGCATTTAATTTACAACACTCATAAAGTAATAATGTTTCTCTTATTGTACACAGAGATATAGAAGTAATAACTCATGGTGTGTTAAAGGCTGGAATCATATAAAATCATTTTCGTATGGTGTTGACTCTCAGAATTTGTTGATTGACCATTGAGAGACATATTGACATGAAAATAAAGCCCAGGTAGATGCTCAAATATGCTTGCAATATATTTTGACACAAGTTTTCAACGGATAAGTCAAAATTCAGTCATTGAGCTAAGTTACTTAGACAATGTTCCAGCCTCAGCCCTAGGAAGACTCAGTCTCGGAGTTGGAATGGGGGCCACCTAGGAGGTGGCATTCTTAACCTGGGAATGTTTTATTTATAATTTCGAAGTAGTCTGATTTGCTAGGTACCCTGCATGCATTCATTGTCAGATTCAGCCATCTATGTTGGATTCTGTGACAGAACACTGACACATGGACTTGTCAATGGTCGATCTGAAGCATCTTGATCTGTGGGCACTCGTCCAGAGCTGCCCCTACCCACACTGTTTGATAGAGCGCACAAACATTTAGTAAAGGTCATGCAAGAGCAGAAACTAGGTATCCCGCAAAAATATTTGCTGATAAATGCAAGAACGACTGACGCATAAGGCAAACTACGAATCTTAAATGGAGCGCGCCACAATAGTAAAAAACGCAGATAGGGAATGCATACGTCCGCTGTAACAAATACAACATCCCGGCCAAAACGATATCAAATAAATAAGTTAACCCACCTTAAATTGGAAGAATTGGGTATCGGCATCTTTTCACTGTAGTCTAAACTGGAAAATGCGGCGCTGGAAGCGACGAGACTCATATCAAACGTCCACTTCCAACACAAGGCGGATCCGCAGTGAAGGGATTTGCTAGGATTGCTTCCAAACTGCACTTGCTATTGGCTTCCATATCAAGTTAAAAGGGCGCCATCTGTTGTGCAGCTAGTACCAAGTGCTGCCCTCTGCGGGTAAATTAGAAGTGCACAAGTCCACCAGTTTGGACCGCAGTGGCACTGTGAGGCTAAAATAGAATTCCCCATTACCAATCCAGACTTCAGCATTGGTCTTCTGTCTTCTGACATACAGATACCTTTCCTCAGCAACTCAGACTCTTCGCTCTGGGCTGGAACTAGACTGTCTGGTCACCATTATCCAATTCGAGCAAGAGTATGGAGCAAGATACCTATAAGAAACTACGGAGAGCGCCCCGTGGGGGGGGGGGGGGTCCGTTTCGGTCCCCCCTGTCCTTTTCCGTCCATATCTCCTAAACGGCTGCAGATATCGCCACCAAACTTTCAGGACCCCTCCGGGCATCCATTTTACACATTGCGACCAAAAATTTTCAGAGGCTCTGATAGGTTGGCCGCAAATGACGTCCGAATGACGTCATGTTCTACCATTTTTGACCGAAAAAAGAGCTTCGCGAGAAGAGCTGTCAGGCCTACAGCTTTGAAGATACAGAAAAATGATTAGACATAAAAGGTGAAGAATTGACAGGGCTACAAAAGTGATATCTGGGATTTTTAAAATTTTAGAATTTTGACCCCTAAAAATAAAAAAATAAAAAAGTAATTTTGGGGATACCTACATTAGCAAAAAAATCAAGTTTTTAAATGAGTTTCAAAAAACGGAATATACATGATAGTAGGTAGGTACCTACCGTCTTCTATCCACATACAAAATTTCAGATCGATACCTCTATTTTTGGCAAAGTTATAACGAAATAACTATTCAAAAATGATGACATCAAATTTTCAAACTCAATTGTTGGCAATTCTAGACCACGTAGGGCAAAACAAAGACCACCATTAGACTCCCCGTGACGAGCTGCATCGAATTAATACCCATTTTATGCAAAAATATCAACTTTTAAATTTAACCTAATTTGACCTGACCTTGACCTGACCTTCACCAGAACGTAACCTAAGCTGGCCGCAAAGACTGCCTGACCCACATAATCGCATTTGTCATGTAAAATGGACCATAAAACATGTATCACACGCTACCTTCATATTGTGACCCCCAGTGACCTGACCTCTGTGACCTGACCTGGTATCAGTGACCTCGGATAGCAAAGTATGTGTTTGACGAACAATGTACAGGTCTCGCGAGATTAAGCGGTAGGTTTTGCACTTTTACATTTCCGGTTATATCTCAGAAACTAATCGATCTACGATGAAGCCATTTTACACGATCATGGCCGGCTTGTTACCCAACAAGTCGATCGCATCTTCAACACTTAAAGCTTAAGACGACGAAGATATAGCCTGAAGTACACTAAATTTTCTAGGTGCAAAACCTACCGCTAAAACCCGCGAGACCTGTACCATCGAACTTACCAATTTACTCGATTTCACAACACATTTCTTGAAATGCCTGTGAACGGTGAAAATCCGACCTTTGACCTGAACTGTGACGTCATCGGTTTGACCTAGCTCAATAAAAATTGGTTACATGGTAGTTGCCCGGTTGGACTATCGAACGCCGTTTGAATTTTGGAAATCGGCCGGTAAATTTCCGAGATCTTAGGGGTCCCGAAACGCCCCCCCCCCTACGGGTGGTAGGGTCCGCCGATAGCCCTACGGGGCGCGGTTTAAATTTTGACAGATCTCCACCCCTACACTGGAGGGAGGCGTTGCGATGTTCAGTAGCGTCGGAACACCTTCAATTAGGGAGGGGGGGGGGGGGCACTGCCGACTTTTGGTCCCATTCTTTCCATGCAACGCCTATAGGGCTAATGTTAAAATGCCAAAATCAAAGGGGGGGGGGCACGGTGTTCCGGTGGCTGCCTGTTCCGCCGCCTATGGCGAAGTTGTGCCATTTTTTGACCGTGAACAGCAACTGCTAACGTAAAATAATCGACCGATAACATGACTATAGCCTTCGGGCTATTCCCAGTTTTGTCGGAGAAAGAAAATATTCCACGTGGTGAGACAAGCGCTGTACACATGAATAAACCGCGCCGTGCTAATGGTCTGAGTTTCGGTGTCGTGGTGGAGGGGGGGGGGCGTTTTCACCCCATTCCATCCCCGTCTAACTTGGCTCCTGGGCCACGTAGCAACACGCGGTAGGCGGCAATCGAAAGAGCGTCAAAAATAATTTCGGAAACACTTCAGTCATTTTCAGGTCAGGTCACCAGAGGTCATCAAAAGTTAATCTTTGTCTATTTCAACAATTTTCGGAACACACAACGGCTAACTCGGGTATCAGATAAAGCTACAGCGCCACGGAAAGAGCATTCGATAGCTCTATTAACGCTCTTTCGCCAGTCTGCCCTCATATTTGACCTCAGGTCAACGGTTTAGCCTCCAGAGGGCAAAAACTATAAAAATAGCCGTTTTCGCAAAAAAAAGTTTTACGGTAATAGCTTTTGATTCAAGGGAGCCATGACATTAATTTTGTCAGCACCGTGTTTCTCTCGTCGAGACGCGTCGAATGAACTATAATTTGATCTTGAAAGATCATTTGAAAAATTTGGCCTCAGGTCAAGGTCATGACCTGACCGGGAAGAGTCATGCTGCATATCAGTCGATCCGTATCGTCGAGCTGAACACATCTGACACCGCTCTATCACGTCTCTATCACAGGTTATAATACAAAATGCTGGTGACCTTTGATGACCTGAGATGAACTCAGGGGCACACAGAGGTCAAAGGTGCAATTTTCCGATTCAGTGTGTCATGCTCACCTATGAGCCGATGTTTGAGAAAGAACGACATTCGTCCAAAAGAGGGGCGCATTTCAATTTTCTCCCCTTGACTTAGGTATACAGAGAGGTCGCAAAATTGACCTGACCCTAGGTCACATATATCAAAACTCCGAAATAAACGTTTTACGCATATTGGTCTCTTATCAATCGCTGAAAGTTTCAAAGTGATCGTTCAGTCGGTGTAGCTACAGCGAGCCTTTGAACATTTTCTGAGGTAAGGTCACATGACGTGACCTGGTGACCTGACCTTGAGCGACCTGGGTCTGAAATTTTCACAATATGTGCGGAAAAGATGTATGAACAGGTGTGCTAAACACTGCTCGCCGCCGTTTTTGAGATATCCACGAAAAATCTGAAGGGGGCGTGAACCCCCCCCCCCCTCCAAGCACGGCGCGGGATAATAGCCGTTTTCACGACGGGCTATCCGGCGAATGCACCTGATTTGACCAAATCTGCACCTAATTTCTGTTACAGCAAATATCTTCATTTTATGAATTTAGTTCAGTGTTTTAATCGATGATGCTCTCTGATAATATGGCAAAGTAGGCATATCAGCAATTAGTGCAACCCTAGCTGAAAGCTGCTAAGAGGCATAATGAACCTGATTTGACCAGATCTGCACCTAATTTGTACCAGATGTGCACCAAATGTGTAACCAGATGGCCGTCGTGAAAACGGCTAATAACGGTTGATTTAGGTACCAATAGGTAAGGCATAGTTACTCTAGGCTCCAAAGTCCAATAAGACATCTTGCCAACATAACGCGGGCATGAACCGCACCGTTCGCAAATGCTTCGATGATTAGCACTGATACGTTATCAGTTCTAAGCCGCTCACTTTCATATTATATCCTTCGCCCCAGTGGGGGGGGGCATATGTTACCACCCTGTCACGTTTTTTGCGTGTGAATAAAAAACCGCGGCGCGTAGCGCCGCGCCGCTTGTGGTAGCTTTTGGTACATTAATTTTGGACAATGTGTGAAATTTTTGACCCCAGGTCATGTCAGGTCAGGTCACCAGGTCAAGTTAACTGACCAAGCCTTAAAAAAAGTTTGCAATCATGTCCAGCCTGCAGTGTTTGTCAGAAAGGTTTGAAACTTGGTGGATTGCATGCTGTTATGGGTGCCTACAATTCGTATATCTCGGATTTTTTATATCCGTGACCTAAGGTCACGTCAGTGGCATGACCTTTCCATTACAAGTCAATGGAGAAAAATGAAAATGCCTTTAGATCCGTGTGTACGCATAGGAACAGTCCAAATATTTCAGAATCACAATGATTTAGTCCACTCGTGATGACCAAGGTGTCATTTTTGCTGATAACCTCTAGAAAGGTCATCCGAGGTCATTTGAGGCTACTAACAGTTTTTTGCCAATAACTCGGGATTGGAAAGAGATAGAACGCTGGGGATGGTCTCATTGTGTTTGTCTTGTTGAGACGCATCGACTGATATGCAACATGACCTTTTCCGGTCAGGTCATGACCTTGACCTGAGGTCAAATTTTCAAGTTGACCTTTCAAGGTCAAATTATAGTTCATTCGACGCGTCTCGGTAAGGGGAACACGATTCTGGCAATAGAAATGTCGTGGCTTTTTGTAGTCGAAAGTTATTGGCGAAAAACACTTTTCGTAAAAACAGCTATTTTTGGAGTTTTTGCCCTCTGGAGGCTAAACCGTTGACCTGAGGTCAATATTGATAATGACCTTTTCAAAAGAAGAGTTCAAAAGCTATCGATTGTTCTATCATGCGTTTTTCTAGCTACCATAGTTTCTGAGATAGCGGCATGTTTTCTGAAAAATATAATGACAATTGGCAAATTTTGACCTTTGATGACCTCTGGTGACCCTAATATTGCTCTAAGGTGAAAAATGACTGAAATACTTTCAAACGTACGCATTGAGAGCTATCGACTGCTTTTTACCGCGTCTTTCTAGCCCTCTTAGTTTTTGAGTTAGAGGTGGGTGGTAACATATGCCCCCCCTCACTAGGGCGAAGTTGGCCGAGACCGCCACTGGGGCGCGGGATATTGCACAAGTTGGTCGACATACCCAATCAGAGTTGGCTTTGAGTAGGCCTTTAGGTACATACCTGTTGTGGCTGAATTGCGGCCTACACCTATCTGTCCGGGTGCGTCAGCCAGTGCTAATCAGGAGTCAGGACGGGGATGGTCTCTTTATGGTCTCTCACGCGGGGTTGCTGCTTCATTGTTGATGAGCCGTCCATTATAGAAAAATATATTTACGCATTTGAGGGGCGGCATCAATGCCTACCCTATCATACTTGATTCAATGTTGACGTTGGTATCTTTGATATCTATTTAGCTCTATGAACCTATTCATCTATTTATTGTATGGTGGGTTGCAGTGTGGAGATTGACAGTCGGCCCGGCACCACAGTGCCACAAGGCATGACTCCAATGACTCCAATCATATCATGTCCTCTTTAGTGCCCTGATCATGTCATTGATGACCATCGAGACTGTATCAGGGGTGCAATGAAGTGTCAGATAAAGTATCCATAGATGCTTAGATACCTGTAGATACTGCAGCATCTACAAGGCTAAACCTATCACGATATCGTTATCAAGAATGCCTATGACACACGAATCTGCTATATCAGCTTTGCTTGGGTCCGCTGCTCATGCTGGTAGTGCGCTGCGACTTCGACCGAGACAAGGTAAGAGAGAATAGTACCTTACCTGTATATTGCGCAAACAATCGCCCAGTTGCTTCAGCAAGCTGCGGGTTTCGTGCTTGTTTCCATGTTTTGAGTTGTCAATCACCATTCTGTTCGCTTCCACTGTGTCTTGTATGTCATGCGGGTTTGGATGTGTCGTGCGGGTTTATGTACGATCTGCCATCAGGGGACGGTGGAGTCCAGTCGTCAGGTCGCAGGCTGTTTCATCCTGGTTTTCTGTTTTTTTTAGTCGTTTCATCGCAATGCCTTTTTAAAACTACGTTGAAACAACATTTACCCGTCTAATTTAAGAGAGTTTAGCGTAGTGAGGAAAATCATATTGATGATTATGAGCATATTTTTAATTGACCGAATCCTCAATGTAATCTGAATAAAATGACAAATAGCAAAAATTCGGGTATATTCGATCACAGATCTTTGTCAACCGATACCAGCAGGCGCCACAATTGTAGATGTCAAAATACTTTTTGTTCAGTACACATGCACAACAGTAGATATGTCCTCAGGGAAAAGATTTATGGTTGGTACTTCTAAAAGTCGCAGCAGTCAAACATAATATGTACAGGGAAAGCAGTCAAACATAATATGTACAGGGAAAAACCTATACACAAGATTAAAGTGCGTTTGTGCCTAAGCATATACGAATTTAAGATGAAACAATACTTGCGGATCAATTAAATGGGCAGCAAGTTACACTCTTACCCTGGACAAAGTTAGGGCACATATAACATTTACACTGTGCGAAACAATTAAATGAGCATATTATACATAAATGAACATTATATACGTAAATGAGCATACATGAGCGTATTATCATACTATGACTACTCATACCCTGGACAAAGTTAGGGCGCATACAGCATCTATGAAAACGATCTACACAATCACTTTTTAACGTGGTGAGCTCTTGAAAATGCTACCCTACTTTGGAAGTAGCTGCCAGGAGGTGCTGTTATCGTTAAGAGCTGGCATCCTATCGCGGATGGTGATGGATTCAGCAATCCTCCTGTCAGCTTCATCCTTACATTTGCGTACGATGCGTGCTATCAGAGTCGTGTCCGTTGGGGTCAGGTCTGGGTGCTCGTGCGCGAAATGTTCACCCATTGGTGTGCCTAGTTTCTTGTTGGTGCCATCTCGTAAGTGTTCGTTATATCGCAGTCGTATTGGCCTACCGCTTTCTCCTACGTAAGTTTTGTTGCACAGACTACATTTCAATTCGTACACTACGTTTTTCGTGTGACACTTTCCCCGCAGCCCAGCTTGACATGCGTGGCAGTGCTGTCTGCCTGAAGGACACAAAAGTGCTGGTCCAAGGTCCAAAAAGTGCTGAAAACATCAGGGTTTCCGATCCTTGCAGCATGGACAAATCAAAACACACTCAAAAGACAGCTAGTGCGGTCAGCTCTCAAAGACCCACCGTGTCCTTCAGGCAGACAGCACTGCCACGCATGTCAAGCTGGGCTGCGGGGAAAGTGTCACACGAAAAACGTAGTGTACGAATTGAAATGTAGTCTGTGCAACAAAACTTACGTAGGAGAAAGCGGTAGGCCAATACGACTGCGATATAACGAACACTTACGAGATGGCACCAACAAGAAACTAGGCACACCAATGGGTGAACATTTCGCGCACGAGCACCCAGACCTGACCCCAACGGACACGACTCTGATAGCACGCATCGTACGCAAATGTAAGGATGAAGCTGACAGGAGGATTGCTGAATCCATCACCATCCGCGATAGGATGCCAGCTCTTAACGATAACAGCACCTCCTGGCAGCTACTTCCAAAGTAGGGTAGCATTTTCAAGAGCTCACCACGTTAAAAAGTGATTGTGTAGATCGTTTTCATAGATGCTGTATGCGCCCTAACTTTGTCCAGGGTATGAGTAGTCATAGTATGATAATACGCTCATGTATGCTCATTTACGTATATAATGTTCATTTATGTATAATATGCTCATTTAATTGTTTCGCACAGTGTAAATGTTATATGTGCCCTAACTTTGTCCAGGGTAAGAGTGTAACTTGCTGCCCATTTAATTGATCCGCAAGTATTGTTTCATCTTAAATTCGTATATGCTTAGGCACAAACGCACTTTAATCTTGTGTATAGGTTTTTCCCTGTACATATTATGTTTGACTGCTTTCCCTGTACATATTATGTTTGACTGCTGCGACTTTTAGAAGTACCAACCATAAATCTTTTCCCTGAGGACATATCTACTGTTGTGCATGTGTACTGAACAAAAAGTATTTTGACATCTACAATTGTGGCGCCTGCTGGTATCGGTTGACAAAGATCTGTGATCGAATATACCCGAATTTTTGCTATTTGTCATTTTATTCAGATTACATTGAGGATTCGGTCAATTAAAAATATGCTCATAATCAACATTTACCCGTCATCCAATTCCAGACAATATATGTTCGCAGTTTTTTTGCGTCAACATGTGGGTATAGCTTATAGCTTCTTAACCCACGCCCCGTCGGGGGTCCTGGATTTCCACACCATGCTGGGGGGTAGTTGACCCCCCCCTTCTAACTCGGCTCCCGAGTCCCGGACCATGTATGACACGCGGTAGGCGGCATTGAAAAGAGCGTCGAAAATAAAAAAAAGAAATTGCCTCGGCCAATTTTTAGATCGTCAATTGTCAGGTCATCAGAGTTCACCGAAGATAAAATTTCTACACTTACAGCGCCAAGCATCGGCAAAGTTTCAACAAAACGGCGCATAGCTCGGGAACGGGCATGGGGAAGGTGGGGCAATATGGACACCCTAAAAATTTTCTCCTGTTCCTTAACCCGCGAGTTGCTGGGGGGCGTTAAACGCCCCCACTTTTTTCGCCGGGCCATAGCATAAAAACGGCGCGCCGCAGGCGCGCCAAATTTTGGGTGCCTGTAGAGAATTGATTGAAGTTTATTGTGACAAAGTTTCAAAAAAATCGGTCGGAAAATTATTGAGATATCGAGGTTTTAGTGACGTCATGATTTCTGAGTTTTCGACCAAAAACGGCATATGTTCAAAAAATCATATAAAATCGCAGAATAAACATACAGACATGCCGTAAACGCCATTAGACTGCCAATACCATGATCAATCAAATGGCTATCTTCAATTATTGATTATCGTTCCGCATTTTCCAAAATCTTGAACTGAATCTTGGCAATTTTTCGTGACCATGATACATGAATTTCTTAAATTGAACTTTTTGAGCCAAACACGTACACATATGATAAAATGAATGTCACCATCGTGTTCTACGCTCCAAATTACCTATAAAACATGTGTCACAGGCTGCGAATATCAGTTTTGATTTTCGGGGATATGTACCCGGTTGACCTGACCTCGACCCTGACCTATGCTTGACTGACCCCTATATGGAGCTGACACTCTTGTAGGCCTTATAAGATGGATTGTGCACCGTTTTGACAGAGTTTATGGCGAGAGGCGCCCATTGCGAAGTCCTAAAGTCCATGCTACTGAAAGCCCGATTTCAGGTGTTTGACCTGACCTTGACCCGACCTGTGACCTCAAAATTCAACTTTAAAGTACTCATCTGAAGCGTCTCGTCGCCCTCTTTCGTTTGCCGCCTCGTGCGTTTCGCTGCGCCTATTGGTTCTCGAGTTATCGGCTGGGGGCTTTTAACGCCCCCCCCCCCAGCAAACGGTGGGTGGCGAAATACCCCAGCAACTGCCGGGTTAAGGAATGAATCAAAACTACTGGTTCATGGTGCTAAACGAGACCTTGATGCCTTGCTGATAAAGTGCCAGTGTATTTACTTGATCTGATATCCAGACGCAATTAAAAACTTTTTTTTTGAAACAGGTCCTGCACTTTTTTCGTTTAGCCCCACCCCTGGGGTAATACCCCTGGGAAATACGGGCTTCGATGAATTTCACCTAGCTATACTATCTCCCTCGGTCTCCATCCAAGCTTCTGGAAATGAAAGAGTTTATCTCGGCAAAAATATACATACAACACATATTTTAAACGTCTCGCCTATCGCCTCGATATACCGGGTGGCCCAGAAAAAACGTTCCGAACTTTGGAGGCCTATATATAAAATACGAGTACAAATAACGAGCCAAAATTTTCATCAAGTTTGCGTCATTTCTTTGCGCATTGGTATGCCAAAATATAACACTATACCATCATTTTCAAGCTGGCAATCTTGAGTTGAATTAAGCAAAACATTTTTGCTTTTTTGGCCGATGTCAAACGATAGTGATGATTGGGTTAGACGTCCCATGTTATAAAAAAAGAATAAAAATAGAGCACGTGAATGAAACCAACACGTATGTTCTTATTAATATTTTTGTCTCACTTATGTGCCAAATATTCAAATACTGAGCCAAAATGGGGCTCATGGATGTCATTCGTTTCAACACCAAATCATGTTTCGAGCAGGAGTGGCACGGTGCATGGATTACCTACTGCTGATTACCCTCCTTTCAGTAGATCAAACAGTAAATCGACCGGATAAGGAAAACAAACTAAAGCAGACTGGCAGGGGCGTCGCCACGGATTTTTGAGTGGGGGGGTCGGGTTTCCGGTCTTCGTCTTGATGGGTAGGGGTGTTTTTAGCCACACTCCCGGTTTTTTTTCGTGTGCCCGGAGGAAAAACTCGGCGCGCAGCGCCGCGAAAGCAGCGGTATATCTTAATGTACATCAATTTTTGCATCGTGCATAAAAATCAAGCACAGGTCACCTGAGGTCAGGTCACAATGTCATGTCAAGTTCAGTTTTAATGCCTCTAAAAACTGCAGTCTTGTCATTCCTATAGATGATCTCCTATAAGTCTGAAATTTGGAGTAATGAATGGGAGTATAAGTGCAAACAGTTCATGAATCTGGGATTTTACATCTGAGAAGCGAAGTCAGGTCAAATAGGTGTGTGACCTCACCAATCATGATAAGATATGGGAAAAAGTACGATGCCCTCTGCTTTGAAAGAATATGCTAAAAACGCTAGATACTT